CGTCGTCGCTCGGGGCTGTGTATTTGTTCAAGATTATGTACATCTGTCCTTTACCTATCGTTCATCGTCATATACATATAGTATACATACTATACGAGACCAAAATACTACCAAGACCGATAGAGAACCGATGCCATCTTGCGTCTTTTTATCAAACTACAAGAATTGTGGACTGCCCGGCCTGTAGTTAGTTGGACACGATTTCGAGCACCCGAACACCAGCGGTGAGCCAGTCCATCGCATTCTACCTTGTCTCCGTTGGTTGTGGGGAGTTCAAACTAGTGTTTAGGAGACCATATTCGGCTATGTGTGACAGCTCTAGGCGTAACAGGTCAGTTAAATGAAATGTAAATCTGAATGTCCATGTAGAACAATCTCTCAAGTCAGTACAGAAAACTAGAAAATACTTGAAAGAAATTCCCGAAGGCACGACTCGCCAGGCAGGAGCCAAAATGTTGACTGGCCAAGTATTAGGACACGAGGACATGGCATACAAATGGGGGGGCTGTGATTGGCTAGAAGATGAGTAAACATGCGCCGTTCACGTGCAACGGAGTTTTCCAGAAATTGGGCAAAACAAATTAGTTACCTGTTTCTGCTTTGTGATAAAATTTTTTTTCTTCCCCCGTTCGCAGGCCAGCAGGTAGTTGAGGAAGTTCTGGACGCCCAGCGGCCGGGCTGTCCCGTGGAGTACTTCAACATCCCCATCCCGAGGGGAGACCCAGACTACGACCCGGACTCACGCGGCGGCAGGGAGCTCCCCTTCCTCCGGTCCCGGTACGACATGGGGGTGACCGGGTACTCTCCGAACAACCCTCGGCAACAGGTGAGCCTCACGCCATACCCCATACACCTAAACAATAGACCGATATCAAATGTCCATCACAATTAAAAGTTAAACCAATGAGAGGATGGCAATTAGCGGTTCGACCAATGAGAGAGTGGCTGCTTGAAATATCTACATTTCTATGTTCTGGAGAAGAGATATAATTGGCTAGAGGCGTGCAGGCAAGTCGCTTTCCAATTATTTTCTCTTTAAACTTAGGCCTGGACGTGATGCCCCATGGGGGTCTTGTCCAGTATACAATAGATGTGAGGCCGATTTCTACTATTTATTCAGCCTGCAATTTTGTGCAAAGGAGTCTGGTGGAGACTAAAATTCCAACGAGACTCGAGAAATGTGTTGTTAACAAATCCTTTGTCTGACTGGCTGTTCCAGTTAAATGAGATCACCCCCTACCTTGACGGAGGACTGATGTACGGAGTGACCAAGGCCTGGGCGGACGCACTCAGGTTTGCAACATACACGTGTACTGTGTAGTTTATCAATAAGTCAAAAATATTTACATAATTATTTTGTGTACAGGTAGCTTTGTATTCTCTTTTTTAGTGTTTTTTTTTAATTTATTGTACTAAATGAGGCCCTTTGAGGTCCTTCAAAATGTTGTTCAACCTTTATTCAGCTTAAAATCACACGTTTAATTTATTAGTCGACTTTGGCCGCTTTTCAAGAGTTCGTGTGGGGGGGGGGTCCAGTCGCCATGTTCACATAGCGTGGGAGATTATAGTTACAAAACAAATTCTTACAAATTAGACAAGTAACATTCGCAAAGCAAATGCATTAATGTTCACCTTCGCATATGGTCTGCTCTGTTAATTCTTTCTCAAACACATTCACATTTATATGGTGACACTAGTCTAAATCCCTACTACTTTAAAATTGCAATATAATGTAACCCAACACCAGTTACCATGGTGAGAGACGGTCTAGTTCAGGTCATTGACCAGGTCTGAGGTCACTGGAGAAGAGGAAGAAACTGAGCAAAGACAAAATATGTTTTCCTTCGGTAAACATAATAATGCCTTTCATGTTGCACCCCCCCCCCAACACACACACCCCTCCACCATGCAGGTTGTTCAGTGAGGACCGACCAGGGCGACTCATGTCGTGCGGTGACCAGGGCCATGCGGACTGCGGAGATCTCTACCCCGCCTACAACACCCTGGGTCTTCCCTTCGCCAACCCGCCCCCACCGAGGGACCACGTACTCAAACCGTCCTACCGCTTCTTCAGTAAGTGTATTACCTTCGCCAAGTAGGTTATCGGTGTTTGGTAACGTTCCTGTGTTTACGGGTCTCTCTGCCTGTTAACAAGAAATGCATATATAGATGTGTTGATATTTGGTAGGTAGGTGGGTACGTAAGTCTTGATGAGACCTCGAAATATTATTAGATTTTGGATCTCCTGGCGGCTTGTTATGGTATTGCAGTGGAAACTTCCGGTTTTGGTATCTCATGACTTGGACATTCTAGGGTCCCGACTTTTTCACGGTACATGGATCCTGCTCTCAAAAAATAGTGACATGAGTTGGGATCCCTAGCAGCTTGTTCTGGAACTTCAGAAGCAGTATTGTTGAAAAATGCGAGGAGAATAATTTAAGAACCATGCCAATTGACATTTTTAATGTATCCTTGACTATATGTAGCTGAAGTAGTATTTGACAAAATTATTGAAATAATTTTAAAAAAAGATCTAATTTATGAATTAATGAACAAGAAATTCTGTTAGTCCGTACACATTTATGAACCCTTTGTTCTGGTCATTTCTGATGTAAAAGTGTCTATTAAAGGAAACCAGAATGGGTCCAAGCGTGTGTCTGGTGGTAGACTACTCCAGACAATTAGTCCACTGAGTAGCCTTTGACTCTTCTGAGGGGCCCGCATGCCCTTTTCCGTAGAGCGTAATCGGCCTTTTCATTCTAGGTAGAGCGTAGACGGACCGCTTTATTTCAACGCACAGCGTAATTGGCGCATTTTACGTAGAGCGCAATTCGCCGTTTTATTTTACGTAATGCGTTGTAGCTACCCGGAATTTACCGTAAAACGTAATGGGGGAGGCTTCTTGAATTCAGCGTAATACGTAGCCGGCTCTAAAAATTTAGCGTAGAGCGTTGAGCGTTATCGGGAACCCCCCATGCAGGCCCTCTTCTGAGGCTCTCTCGCGTAATTTTTCTCCCTCCACCCTACTCCAGAAATCGGCAACCCCCGTGGGAATGAGAACCCGTTCCTGCTGGCGTTCGGGATCCTGTGGTTCCGCTGGCACAACTTCCTGACCGGGCAGATCCACCAGCAGTTCCCGGACTGGAACGACGAGAAGGTCTTCAACGAGGCTCGGAAGTGGGTCATCGCCTCTCACCAGGTCAGCGGAGCTGTTTTCCTCCTCTCTTAAAGGCATCCGATGCAATTGTAGAGCTGAAAAACTGGAAATATTCTGAATAAGGCAATCTTTGTAAAATGGACACATAGTGTTTCACATTAGCACATTTGAGTCAGTATTTCATACTTTGGGCTTCTAAAACTGCAGAAACAATCCCTAAGATGAGTCCTTTATTTTCTGGGTGGTACCCTAAAAATCAGCCAAGGGCCCTTCCAGTAACCATTTTCCGTCAATATTTTGGGAATTTTTGCTCCACGAGGGTCAATACACATTGGGGCAGTGAGATTTCAACTCAATATGTACTTGATAGATGACTATAATATTGACTTTGAAAAATCCGGTTTCCAAGTCCTAAAAACTGCATTGGATGCCTTTAAGCCCCTGTCACACATTCACGAACGTCCTACGAATTCGTTCCTGAACACCAGTAGAACAGGTCGAATTTTTTCTGATCAAAATTTCATCATAACTTTGTAAGAGAAATACGTTTCTATAAACCATACTTTTCTTTCCAGAAAATAGTCCTGTATGACTGGCTTCCAGCCTTTTTAGGAGAAGACCCTGCGAATTACACAGGTAAAACATACTTAGTTCAGGTTATTACTGATTCCACATACTAATAATAAGTTGAAAATGTAAATATTGTGGTTTTTACGTTTTCTCTAATTCTTATCATACTTGTTTGTCGTCGTGAATTAGTTACCGACAAAGATTGGAAACTTTCTGCACAATTTTGATAGTTTCCGTAACATTCGAATTCTCACGTGGTTGTAATAAGTGTTTTAAGTCACTGCACAAAATATATTCTTTACACACAAATTATAGCATACACCTTTACGTTTCCTTTATTGCGTGCTTAAAGATGTGATTTCGAGGAGTGCGTTGATGTTTTAAGTAAGAATCATTAGTACATTTCAGTAAATGGTATCTGTGATAATATTTATTTGTATAAATCGTTTGTGAATATTTTGTTGATGTTGACCTTGTTCTTCTGAAGGTTACAAGTCGTCTGTACATCCGGGCATCACACACGTGTTCCAGTCTGCCGCCATGAGGTGGGGTCATACCATTGTGCCGCCGGGGGTGTACAGGCGCAGCAAAGTGTAAGTCTAAGATCCACTGAAAAAGCTGGTGTTATCATATTAATTACAGTAATGATAAACTTCAGACACCAGTCTGGTTACCAAACTTAGTTTAGCGGCACTTCTGTCTTCATCGGACAAACGAGATTCGGCAGCTAAAATATGTTTGGTAACCAGACTACTTAAAACTGTAGACGTAAAACTGTAAAATCAGTTGAGAATAATGTTTGCTCTCTCTTTGGACTGTCTGAGTGTTATATTTATTGAGTAAACATTTGATTGCGTTCTTATCTTCCTCACTTCCACTGCACTAGCTATAGGTCAGAGCCAGAGGATAACACTCGCTTTAATAAGATAGCCCCCTGCTGATTTTCGGTAGTACTGCAGTTGGAAACTCAAGTTTTTTTTTTATTAATTGCACAAGTAAGACAAAGTACAGGACAAAGTGATAGCGCACTCAAGTTACAATACTTATTTTGACGCTACCACTTAATAAATGAAATACAAGGAAAGAAGGGATAACAAAATGTGAAGTGGTATAATAAAGTACAAAGATGTTGAAATGTTTATGAGCGCAGTCCGATTCCCCACCCAATGATGAAGCAGATAAAACTGTAGGACACAGAAAAAGATGACAGAGAATGATTATTGGAAGCGTTTTGTTGTGGTGATGAATTGTTGGGTTAACATCAAAATGTTGGAATTTGCTATGAGTGAACATGTGGGACTACCACGGAGAAGGAGGAACATTTTGGCGTTGTCAGACAAAACTGTAAAGTTGAGGGAGTGTCCTAAGAGCCTGGAAAGTTTGCCAAGGAGAATTATGCGTTGGGCGTTGTACATAGGGCAGTGGAGTAAGTAATGTGACACTGTTTCGCGTTGGCACCCGCAAACTCAAGTTTAAACATCTATTAAGATAAAAATGTGCTTGAAATATGTATATATAAACAACAACGACCTTGTAATTGCCTTTATATTAAGCCACTTTTATCTGGACCTAAGAGAATTTCTGGAATGTCTTTCACAGTTAGCAGTGGTTATTTATCCCAATTTTTAGCACCATATTAGTGAAAAAAATTACAATTATCCCAAGAAAAATACTTAGCACGTTTTTCACATTAAAATAAATTACGGTGTTAAATAATTGGGATAAATAATCAGTTCTTCACATTTCTCACCGCAAAGTGAGATTGACCAATGACTATAATGACAAGTACAAGTACTATAATGAAGGCATTCAATGCAATTTCAGGGCGGCATAAAACAAATTTTCTGGACGAGAAAATGTGTCTAATATTGACATTTACTGCCGTTTCTTAGCACATTTTTGTCCTTTTTTTTTATACACAAAGTGTTTAAAATAACCCAAAACAAGCCAAGTGAGACGCCACGTTATTTTTCGGATACCTACAATTAAAATCTGTCAGGAACATTACAATTTTGCCTCGCAGATATAGATACATGTGAAAGGGTTTTTTCAACTTACTACATTGAAAGAATAACATGAAAATTGGCTCTGAAACTGCATTGGAATTGCCTTTAATAAGTTGTTTTATTGCAAATTCATGCCCGAGGGCTAATTGCATGAACAGAAGAAACATTTGGTATAAAAACAGATAATTTTTAGCACACATAGAACTACTGATAACTATACTAAAATACTACTAGTAAAAACTGGAGGGCTTGACTTCTTTTTTGAAGACAGAGGAAGACAAAGGATCCCACTTTTTCTGTAATTTGTGGGTTTTCGGATGTTAGGAGAGTAGTTTTTTTTATTTGTATATGTGTGAAACGTCGATGAAGGTTAGACATCCAGGTAATACGATACTCCAAAAACAATTTGAGATAAAGTGCGTTTCGTCTTCCACCGTATTCAACGTACAATCATATCCAGTTGCTTGAGTAACTGCTTTTTGGCGTATATGTATGAAAGTTTGGGTAGAATTTGGAGGCTAGCGCTACGTCAAAGAGTTCATTTCGTTCCTTGCTATAGACGGTACAATTCGAGATAAAATGCGTTTCGTCTTCCACCGTATTCAACGTACAATGTTTGCTAATTCGTTCATACACTTGGGGCCTCTTATACCACCCTCTCTCAATTAGTGGCTCTTTAATAGTTAGTGCTTTCGGCCCCTTGTACTGTCTATGCTTGATATTTACTGAGTAAATATTTGACTGCGTTGTTATCGTGTTTAAACCCGCAGTAGGTCAGACGGGACGTGTGCCTGGCGCAGCACCACGGCCTTCACCAGTCCCCACACGGGCGGCACGTACTTCCACGGACTCCGCACATGCAACTCCTACTGGAACTCGGTGGTGAGTACATTCTAGTCACTGAACTTGAAAAGTTGGTCAAATACGGTCGATGTTCAGGAGAACTTGCACTTCTTGTTCCACCGCTCAGAACCTTTCAACGTGCCACTAGGTTCTCTTCCAGCTCTCATCAATACACCGTCAATATACCTGTCTCCAAGTCATTTTACAACAACAGCTTCTTTCCCCGGACTGCAAAATTATGGAACTCTCTTCCAAACAGCTGCTTTCCATCCGATTACAATCCACAAAGCTTCAAAACAAAGGTCCACCGCCATCTCCTGACATAACTACATTATACTATAGCTCTATGCCTAGAAGTGGCCTAAAATAACTGGCCTTGCATTGAGCGAAACCGTTAAAAAAAATACCACAACAAATAGCCATGCCTTCAAGTACCAATGAGAGATCTCAACCAAGGATTGTTTACAGTTGTTTTTGTTTCTTGTTTGTTTTGCACTCAAAAGATAAAATGAAATATATCGAGTTAAGTAGGCGTGCATGGGAGGGCCGGAAACCTGCTGGTTTATCTTCCCAATACTTTAAGATTAAAAGTTACCATTGATACTGAATGAACCAAAATTTAAACGAAGAAGACAAAAATAAAACAGGAAATAAACAGAAACACTAATGAAACAATACAAATCATCTATCTGAACAACTAAAGAAAAATCAAACTAATTAATCAAGTTTTTGCGGACAGAAGTGCAAATTTAAGAGACTGTGTTACTCGCTCTTTTGTGTTTCATGTTTGAAAACCAGTGTTCAGTTTTCGAAGTTGGGCCACTGCATGAAACCCTATACTTAGGGGTAAGCATGCATTTAAAGATGCGCAAAGGTATAAGAAGGAAATAAATGGAGCATTTATAATAAACTTCATACATATTCTAAAATCAAAAAGCATTTTGGCATGGAAGACTATCTCACATCAATTTATAATAAATCGTTCACAACTAGCATAACAAAATTGAGAATCAGCGCACATTGTCTTCAAATCGAAAAAGGTCGACACCACAACACACCAGCCACTCAGAGACTGTGTCCCACATGTAATGAGAATATTGAAGATGAATTTCACTTTGTTATGACATGTCCCACCTATAGAAAAGAAAGAGATTCATTGTTACAGACTATTACCACTAAGACAAAGTTCACCCAATCTAGTACACAGTACGATACATTCTATGAATTATTGTCATGTCCTACTACCATATCTGCTTACGTAGGTCAATTTCTGTACACCTTATTTTATAAGCGAGACCAAATCATCAATTCATGAACATATTGTGACTCATATACTGTATAGATAGTAGTTTGTAGTAAGAAATGTAATAAGATAGTTTAGTTTTGTAGTATTGTTGTATTACTGCCACACATTGTACCATGTACGATTGTCGAGCAATAAAGTTCATTCATTCATTCATTTATAGTACTTTAGAAAGTGTCACTTATGCTGGGGTCACAATTCCCATACGGGGCCCGGCCGGGCAGCTTTTGGGAACGAAAACTACGATACAGAAGACAACAAAACATCGAAAAGATCTTAATAACAATCATGGGCTCTATTTATCTATATTCTTGATAAGAATAGTTCATTTTTCGTTCGTACAAACAGCCCCGCCGGGCCCCAGTTTTGAAATGTGACCTAAGCATTAGACGTTGAATTTCGTGCAATGCGTATAATTCACTAATTACCAACAGGAACCGATGGAGGAAGGTTTCAAGGGAAACGCCAGCGAGACGTTTGACGGAATAGAGGAGCTCCTTCTGGGCATGTCGTCACAGGTCACCGAACGGGAGGACAACATCATCACTGAGGATCTTAGAGGTAATTATAACGTAGCGATTTTGTTATGAACTGCAGGGATATTGTACAGCGTGATGGGGTTTGATAGAACAGAAGAGAACCTGCCAGCTCAGGGCATGAACGAGAGGGCAACGTCATAACTGATCAAATAGCTTCTCAGAGGTAACCTGCAACACACAGCCTCCTTGCGGTTCTGCGGATAACAGCAACAGGTCACTCTACCGAATTTTAGGACGATGTTTACGTTCATCATCGGAGACCTGAGTGGTCAAGATAGCCACCTACTGACTTTGGACAGTAATGCAATTGAAAGACAAATTCAACAAGATTTACCAATAGGGGTTAAAACACACACTGTCACACAGGAAATCTATACTAGTGACGTCTGTCACTGGCGAAATCAACCATTGTAATAGGCCACAGGAATGAAATACATCACTGCATCAAAGTGCATCATGCATTAAATCAGAGCCTTGTCTTGTCTCCTCTTTTCATATTCATCCGCCATCCATTTTTCGGCATGGCAACAGACATCATTTTTGGCATGTTGACCACTGTCAGAGGGCAATAATATTTCTTTTTTTTTCCAAACTCAGGCGAAAATTTAATGCGCACGCTGATGTCACACATAAAAAAATCTTGCTGTGGCGTTACTAGACTTACAAGGCATGTGTCATCGTTGGTAAATCCTATTTAAGTCATACAGTGGCTAAAGTCGAGTTTATGTTGGCCCAGGGCGCGTGTTCGGCCCGTTAGAGTTTTCCCGGCGTGACCTGATGGCGCTGAACATCCAGCGGGGCCGGGACCACGGCCTGCCGGACTACAACACGGCCCGCGTGGAGTACGGACTGGACAGGGTAGAGAACTTCTCCGATATCAACCCCACACTGTTCGCACAGGATCCGGAGGTGGGTGGTCTGTAGGGCAGACAGTACTAGTAAATTTAGCCACAGGAACATATGCTTAAATACACTATTAGAAGTCCTCATGAAAGTACTTGCCCATACTTCAATCTCAAAAATTTTCTGCGCCAGGTAGCCACAAGGGTCTGATTCCCAAATATAGAAAGAAAACAGGGGGTCGACCAGGCCAAATTCCCACCACAGCTGATGATAGTAAACAAACCTCAACTTTGACCTACCTTTTCTATGATATTCATCCGCCTGGCCAGACAAGACCTAACCACTCACATCTGTCATCATGCCCACTAAACTGGTGAAATGAACAAAACTAGCCCAAAAATTTCCAAAATGGATCAAAACATTCAAGCCTCTACTGCGCAACGCAATTGTGGTATCTACCGTGTACATGCTGTACCCTGTTAGTGGTGCCCTCTAGCGATTTTGTCATGTACTGCATAGAAAGATGTCCGTCCTTTTGTGTCATGGGGTTCGTGCGTGTGTTCTTACGGATGTGTCGGTATGTGTTTTTAATATGCGTCCGTCTGTTTGACTATGTATGTATATCTGTGTTATTATGGCTTAGTGATAGTGTGCCTGTGTGCACGTACGTGTGTATGTATGTGCGCGTACACTCTTACGTGTTTGTGCGCAATCTGAATCCGATGGTGTTCGTACGTGTGTTCTTACGGATGTGTTGACGTGTGTTTTGATATGCGTCTGTCTGACTATGGATGTATATCTGTGTTTTCATAGATTAGTGATAGTGTGCCTATGTGCACGTACGTGTGTGTGTATATGTGTGCTTACACACGTGTGTCTGTGCGCAGTCTAAAATATAAAGAAGGTAATTGTGGGGGCCAGTTTAAGATTGTTGAAGAAAGTTGGCACATAAAGGGGGTGGGGTGTATTGGGGTCGGGCGGACATAAACAAACTACATTATCATATAGCGAGAAGGCATCAACCAATCAGAAGGCTCCGTTTCCCATTGGTTATCAGGCCGTTACCTAAAAAGTGGTCGGTTATTAGAATAACCGACCACTTGTTGGACCGTACCGCTCACTTGGTGGTTTATTCGGTGGTTATTGCACCTGACCAAGGATTATCTCACAATACACACCTCGAGGCGGGGCATTATCCCTTTGAAATACATTCCTATGTTGTTGAATTTTCTGTGATGCTTTCACAGCTTCTAGCAAACATCACAGCATTTGCAGCAGCAAACGACTGGACCACAGACAAGTGTGACATTTGGGTGTGCGGCCTGCTGGAGACCACGGAGCGGGGTCCGGGCCCGCTGTTCAGAGAAATCATCAAGGACCAGTTCGAACGGATCCGCGATGGCGACCGGTTCTGGTTCGAGAACTACAGACAAAACGGGTAAGCTTTGGACATGTCTTGATTGGATGAGAGTAATTAGCTTTTGCATTGTATATCTCTCCCTCTTCGTCACTTTCTTGGCTGTGTGTGTCGTTGTTTGTTTATACGAATTATATAATACAGTTTTTAAAACAAAGTTTAACGTGAATCAGGACATTTTTATTTGCAATGTCAATGCTGGAAAACCGAAAAACTCGTTTCACTCAGGTGTCAGATCATGGAGCTAGAAAGAAGTCCACACACACACACACACACACACACACACACACACATAGAGAGAGAGAGAGAGACAGATAGATAGACAGAAAGACAGAGAGACAGTCCTAGAATAATACAGCCATTTTTCATTGAAAAAACTTGAACCGCGTGTTATAAACTTTGTGTGCAGGTTATTCACAGAGGCTGAAGTGGACCAGATCAGGAACATGACACTTTATGACATCATCCGTAGCATCACCAATATCACAGATATGGACATACAGGAGGATGTCTTCCTCGCCACCGGTTAGTCAAATTCTATCTATTTTAATTAATGTCATCTTAAACATTTCTCTGTATGTATTGCAACATTGGTAAGGTATTCACAAGAGGGCACATGCTACATACATTCACAGGTCAATGAAACTCGGATATTGGGTTTCACTTATACACACTCAGTGCTTCTACGAGTATCAACTTGCTTACGTTTCGATTTTTATCAGACGCCTTCCTCAGAGCTTTGTATTGGAGTACTGCTTATTGCCACTTTATGTTGCCTATTACTACTTGGGTACCTGTCGGTTGGACATCGAAACATAAGCAAAGTGAAAGAAGCACTGGTTGTGTACACGGAATTTTATAATAACCTTATATGTTTTACCTAACTAATGAAATTACTTTTGGGAAAATTATAATGTATAGTATATTGCATGAGCCTCATAATGCAATTTTGACAAAGATGTAACGAGTATGTACATGTACATGTAATAATAAGCACGAGACCTAGATAATTATAAGGTTGTAACGCCAAAAACAGTAGTAACTCAAGCAACTGGATATGAATTTGAAAGTTTGCCAGTTGCTTGAGTAATTGTTTTCGGCGTATCTTATTACCTGGATGTCTAACCTTCAGCTGCTAACCTTCATCGACGTGTATGGCTGTAACATTTAATCTTTTCGTTTTAGTTGTCTATTCTTTATTGTATCAATGGCCATGACTCATGAAACTAAGCCAGATTTGTCCCCACCTTCCCAGAGTCTCCCTGTTTCCAGCCGAAACAGCTGAGTCAGTTGGACATGGAGCCGTGCACCCCCGACAGGCTGGGGCAACCGTCGGACTTCAAGCGGCAGACCTTCGACTACTTCAGCGGCAGCGAGTGGTCCTATGCCCTGTCGTTCGGCGCGATGGGACTGTTCGTAGTTGGTAAGTGTTCGTAGTTGGCAACATTGTATATCCAGAACAGTGCTTTATCCAGAATCACGCTCATCATGAATGGGTCAAGGTTAGGATCAGGTATAGTCATGGATAGTCCGCGCGTGTCCAGAGCTGTACCTGGGGCAAATGTACGTTTTGGGGATACAAGGAGATCTTGAACCTAGGAAGGCCCATAGGTACACTTAGCATTTTTTTATTCCACTTTGTATTTTCTATGGGTACTTTGTATTTTCTATGGGTACTTTGTATTTTCTATGGGTACTTTGTATTTTCTATGGGTACTTTGTATTTTCTATGGGTACTTTGTATTTTCTATGGGTACTTTGTATTTTCTGTGGGTACTTTGTATTTTCTATGGGTACTTTGTATTTTCTATGGGTACTTGTTTTTTTCTGTGGGTACTTTGTATTTTCTATGGGCCTTTTTTATGGTAGACCGAACCAAACAAAAAATAGTAACCCAATGAAGGGCGCACAAAACGATAAATCGTACAAGACGATAAAAATACCGCTCTACCCGGCGAGATCACAGAGACCCCACCAGGTAAGCATACAGCAGTACCTACAGACACGTCCGTGTGTACTTCGCGAAGTTTTTTTGGTGGCTGGCGAAGCGACATTCATTTTGCTTTGATGTGGATGCTCCCATTTTTATTATGGGCGGTATATTTCTGTTTACCATTCCAGGCAACTAAATTTATTTTGAACCTATTAAAACATAATATACTTTACACTTTAAGAAAATTTTGTTTGTTTTGCATGCAATGTTCCACACGTTTATTAATTAGGAGTATCAAATAGTGATTATTACATCCTGGCATAGATTATGTTAATGTAGACACAGGACCATACTATTTTCGGGGGTGCTAGGACATATTGTTCAGACTTCCGTCAACATTTCCGTAGCGATATATGGTAAATCACTTCCTCGCTGAATGTAAATTACTCCTTTGTATTAAAAAAAGCCCGTAATCTAAAGCGAGGGTTCATTGCCAATGTTGGGAAAAAATTGCATTGCGGTTTGCTGCCCTCCTACCAACCGCGAACGTTCATCACATGCAGTTTACGCAGGAAATATGGACAATATGCCGTTTCAGTAAATAACCTGACATCTAAAATTGTTGAAATATTCACAGAAACTCAAATTACACTCTAGGTTGACCGTCTAATCGTGTGGTAAGCTACATGTGTGCTGTAGTGACATGAATTGGCACTTTTGTGGGGAGTGGGGCGTCCCAACAAAGGTCAACGACCTCCATGGCTTACGGCCTATGTTTCACGCTTTTGCACTTCATAAATGAACAATTTTAGATGTCAGGTTATTTACTGAAACGGCATATTGTCCACATTTCCTGCGTAAACTGCATGTGATGAACGTTCGCGGTTGGTAGGAGGGCAGCAAACCGCAATGCAATTTTTTCCCAACATTGGCAATGAACCCTCGCTTTAGATTACGGGCTTTTTTTAATACAAAGGAGTAATTTACATTCAGCGAGGAAATGATTTACCATATATCGCTACGGAAATGTTGACGGAAGTCTGAACAATATGTCCTAGCACCCCCGAAAATAGTATGGTCCTGTGTCTACATTAACATAATCTATGCCAGGATGTAATAATCACTATTTGATACTCCTAATTAATAAACGTGTGGAACATTGCATGCAAAACAAACAAAATTTTCTTAAAGTGTAAAGTATATTATGTTTTAATAGGTTCAAAATAAATTTAGTTGCCTGGAATGGTAAACAGAAATATACCGCCCATAATAAAAATGGGAGCATCCACATCAAAGCAAAATGAATGTCGCTTCGCCAGCCACCAAAAAAACTTCGCGAAGTACACACAGAAAAAAACAAGTACCCATAGAAAATACAAAGTACCCATAGAAAATACAAAGTACCCATAGAAAATACAAAGTACCCATAGAAAATACAAAGTACCCATAGAAAATACAAAGTACCCATAGAAAATACAAAGTACCCATAGAAAATACAAAGTACCCATAGAAAATACAAAGTACCCATAGAAAATACAAAGTACCCATAGAAAATACAAAGTACCCACAGAAAATACAAAGTGGAATAAAAAATGCTAAGTGTACCTATGGGCCTTCGTATGAACCGTGCCTGAACCTAAACCTAAACCTAACCCATTAAAGCATTGCTTCAACTAAGATAGACATTAGGTTTTGGATTTAGTGCTTACAACATAAGTCTTATTCTGTTAAAATATGCCAAATGTAGGGGGTAAGCTTTGGAAGTCACGTGACTATCGTGGGACTCACGTGACTATGACGCAATCAATCCACCAACATGGTGGACGTAGAAATCGAGTGTTGTCTTTTTTCATGTGAGAAATAATCTCAGGTCCCCTTCCTTTTTCTTTGTAAAGTCTAGGAGAAAATTCATTTTTTGGAGTGTTGCCCGTGCATTCTTAGTTAATTATAATAAAAATGTTATCTAACATGCCTGCATATCGTCATTTTTCATTTCACTATACTGTTAATAGGTTTATTTGTATCAACAACAGCATGACTGGCCGTCGTGACGTACAAGACTGAATTTCGATGCTTGTTAACCGTAACATAAATCATTCATAGTAGGATTATTATTTAGTTGGAATCATGTCTACATGTATATTTACAATCATTATGCTACCTTGTATGACCCATAATTATCAACATTACATTCATACAATGCTTTATTATTTTATGATATGAAATATTTCTTAAAGGCTGCATTTTGGTGCTGGCGTGCCTGGCTAAGCGGAGAAAACTACAAGAAGCCAAGGAGAGGATCGAGCACAGGAAAACTCAGACCGCCAGCTCGACGCGCAGGGAGAGCGGGGCATCAACCATACTGGGTAAGGAACAAACAGGCATGAAAACTTTGTGTAATATAGCCATTAACAAGCCTGAGACTTTTAAATTAAGGAAACTTTGTCAGGACTAAATCTAAATTATCTTAGGTTGAAAAAAATCTTAGGTTTAAACTTATACTAGCAGATGGCAGATAAATATTTAACTTTGCATGCTACATGTTTAAGGCTAGCTGTCCAAGTAATTCTTTTATACAAAAAACCATAAATAAAAATGTGCATCATCACGGGCATGCCCGCAGACGGTGCATAAAATTGCATGCCGAATAAACAAAGGGAACCCCGTGTTCTAGGTGCGAACACGAAAAAACGGCTACCCACAATATTCCGTCCGGAGGTCATCACCTCCTTCACGGAGTAAAAAAAAGACCACACTGGGTGCCGTTAAGAGTGGGTTTCCGCCATTATAAATTGATCGCTTCTCATCTCCCCCAGCCTCTGAGTACATGGGCGGGAAGGATGGAGAACACAGCGTGCAGGTGGTGCTGGGTCCGGGGAAGGAGGTGAAGGTGCTGGACCAGTGTCTGAACACCGTGCGGACCATCGACCTGAAGAACCACGCCAGGCTGGACATCTACCTGGCGGTGGAGCGGAACGGAACCATGCTGGCCATGAAGATTCCGAAAGAGTATGACCTGGTAGGTAAAGCCCCTGATACGTATACACAGAACCATGAACTTTCCTATAGAGGCTAACTGGCAGCTTCAGCGAAGAAAACCACGAATATTACATCTAAAGATTATCACAAGCGGAAAAGTTGATAGTTTGGGTGTTGTTTCTTTATTTTCAGAACGAATTAGTTGAACGATCTTCGCCGGATCGGCGCTCCAAGCACTCCGTACGAACTCGGCAAAGTCGTAATTTTCTCAAATTCTGTCCTTCATATAAATCAAAAGATCGTAAAATATGACTGTTGACCTATTTTCTGACCTAGTATAGTCAACAGTTTGGGTCTTATATTAAAGTGAAGACCGTAAAAAAAAACAGCCGTTCTGGGTGCCCCATAGCGACTGTTTCCTGTGCACTTTTGACGCCGTCGAAACGTGCTGTGTGGCACGCTTACATAGCTCGGTCTGTAGAGTATGACCTGGTAGGTAAAGCCCCTGTCACACAAAGTCCCTGTTACACAGAACCATGAAGATTACTAAGGAGTATCACCTGGTAAGATTTTATCATAGAAGGACGGTCTCTTCCTCTCATACCTCCATGAGTGTACGAAGCTCAGCTCTGTTGCTGAGTCGGCTGAGGCTAGCATCTATGTTGAGTGTTGTACGCATTCTGCCGGGGTTCTGTTTGCTCTGGGTTGACTCCAATATCATTGACTCGCTTGCCACCAGCCCAAGGGAAATAACGTCGGTATTCATTCTGGGTAAGACCACACCGACTTATTATATGGCTGGTATCAGTGCGCGTATATAAAAAAAAATGTTGCGACCGCAGAGTCTCATTATACAAAGAAGGTACTTGAAGGATACCAGAGGTCGAGGTGGTTTATTGTTTTTTCTCTCGCTTGTCGACATGTCCATGACCTTCGAACTCTTCCTTATTAGTGCCCTATCCCTGACAGGCCCCTGGTTGTTGTCCTTCTCTTTTCACCTATTTCCTCACCCGACCCAAGTGCAAATGAGTATCTAACTTTGCTTAGAGACGTCTTCTTGGACAGGACGTAAATGTCTCGTATTTAAGGAGAGCCACGCCTTGAGCACCGTGAAAGATCCCACCACAGTAATGAAAAAGAGTAGGGGTCCTTCCCGGTGTAAGTTGTTCAAACCTTACAGTTCGGTGTCAGGTTTGACAACCTGAAGAGGAGATAATTATCTGTTATGTCAAACCTGTATATAATCTTTGATGATTATGTATGTTCATTCTCCATTAATTTTGCTGTCATTATGTTCGTATGTTTATATGTTTTGAACCCTGGAAGATTAGTCATTGTCAGTCAGTTAGGCATCGAAATAAACGAAATAAACGAAATCCTTACACAAATGTGATGAATCTTCATACATAAATATCTGACTAGCATACTTTTGTGTGTTTTGTGTCCTAGATTCTACATTTCGACACGATGGGCGAGCACAACTTCTGCCTACGTGAGCTGGAGAAGTTCTTCGGACAGGAAGGTCTGAGCTGTAACAAACACGAGATGAAGGGTAAGGAGCTGATGAGCAGGGTCAAGACCAAGGCTGACCGACAAAAGCTGCTAGAGAGGTTCTTCAGGATCAACTTTGCCCAGGTGTGTTGGTGTATCTGCACACGTATATGCACATTTATCTGCACGCGTATCTGCACATGTATCTACACATATCTGCACATGTGTCTGTACACGTATCTACACAAGTATATGCACACGTATCTGCTATGTATCTGCACACTTATCTGCACACGTATCTGCACACGTATCTGCACACGTATCTGCACATGTACATGCTTTCTCATAATGAACGCACGGAATTGTTATCTATCCTTATATATAATATATATATATAAAATATATATTCCAAAATATATAAACACATTACTGAAAGATAAGACAGCATGTCTTCCACAGCATACACAGATGAAGTCAAGCCCAACAGACATAGTTTTAGACAATTTACCTCCTGCAATGTAGAATAGCCGCTTTTATAATTCTTCATTTCATGGTTCCCATGTCGTTTTCCCTGCGATGGGCACCAGGGAATGAGCTTGAACTAAACCCGTACCTTAATGATATTTGAATTCTTTTACTATCTATATATTTCATATTCAAGGCGTTCAACGAAGACAACCCCATCGAAGACAACATGAGTTTCCGTGAGGCCCAGGAGGTCCTATCCTGTGAGCTGACCAAGACAGAGTTTGCTCAGTGCCTGTCCATGAAGCCGGACTCCATATTTGTGGAACAGATGTTCAACTTAGTGGACAAGGACGGTAGCGGGTACATCAATTTCCGGGAATTCCTGGACGTCATTGTCATCTTTGCTAAAGGTTCGTTTCCCATTTCCAGCTGTTTCCTGTTTGTATAGTATGTCGAGTTTTGATTTCTCTGGTCTAGACCCGCGGTGGCTGATCATACGCCTCTGTCCCCCGCTTCGTGGTTTATGTTGTAGTCATGGAGGTCCCGTGTTTGGGGAGAGCCACACCTCGTAAAAGAACCCACCACGTACACATTTCTAAAAAAGAATAGGGGCATGCTCCGGTGTGTGATGGTACAAATTCTACTGTCTGGAGTTGGTGATTCACTACAAATCACCCGGGCAGAGACCTGGCGAACCTCCGTCTTGTATCAGCCAAATCTTGGATAGGAGATAGGCGCCGCCAAGATTATAAGCTTGAAGAGTCATCGTGGCAAGTCATGATGATATGCCCCTCGACCGTCAAGGTTATGAGATCTACTACTATTATCAAGACCATTGTCTCTCTTGACTATGTCGATCTGGTCTTCTCAAATATAGAAATCGATTCATAAACTTGCCGTGCCCAAACATTTCAACGTCTTTACTTTTGCGTTTTCAATTTCAAGATGAAATAATTTTTCCAACTTGCCCTGCCTAGACGTTTTAATTTTCAAGACCAATGTGTGATATCGGAACAGTTAAAGGCACCCAAAGAAATTCCAGAGCAGGAATCGTGGGTTTCTAAGTTAATGTTCTGGTGTAGTAAGTTGAGTGACCATTATCCCATAGCATGCTAGTATCCATGAGGCAAAAATACGATCACACATACAGTATTTGACGTAAAACGGTTGCTTCTTTTATATCGTAGGCTTCTTCTAGCTTTTTAGGTGGTTAAAAAACGGACTCTTCACGTGCTACCACAACCATTTCAAATATGAAATATTGACACAATTGTGATAGGAAATAACAGTCATTGTCAATATCAGACAGATTTAGCTCTGATGGCTAGGTTGAGATTTGATCCCCAAGGTTACTACAGAATAAAGCCCGCTTAACACAAGATGCTGTTTACATCTGTCAGGTACTGGTGATGACAAGGCTAAGCTGATGTTCAACATGTACGATGTGAACAAAGACGGGAAACTGACCAAGGAAGAGTTCAAGAACATGCTCAGGTAAGGGGAGGCTATTTCTGAGAAATTTCAATTCAATTCTAGTCTATTCTATTCTATTCTATTCTATTCTATTCTATTGTTTATTATAATACCAACATTGCAGACATATAAAGTATAATGTCGCCTGAATGACATTGGTATTTACAATCATTACATTAGAATAAACACATAACATTACATTACATTGCGTTACATACATATATACATGAATATATACATACTACTGATATGAAACATACATCTTGAGTTTTGATTATACTGTCTGATTGTAGAGTCTGATAGACTGATGTAGGACAGAGTTCTGAAGTCTTTTTGTTCTGGCTGGGGGGATGGAGATGGTGTTTTTGTTCCTAAGAGAGCGGTGACTTAGTGACTTAGCGTATTGGATACTGTCTGGAAAATGGATACTGCCTGGCCGATTTGATTTCTTGGTTTTGTTTCTTTCTCTTAATGCCCATGATCATGATAATGATCATTCTGGCATACTAATAAACACCTGAGCGAACTGACAACTGATTTCAATACTCCGCCTGTCGCCAAAAGTCCTATCCCCTATATGACAACCCTCCTGAACGAGCAGGACACATAGGTCAACACTCTGTGTACTTTATTATGTGATCTCCCTTGTTTTACAATTACATAGTATAAATCCTATATAAATAATAGAAATATTGTTGATAACTTGATTTTAATAATTTGATATAGTACACGAACGTGCATCCTTTAACTAACGCATTGTACTAGTTTTATTACATATCGTATACTTCGACTGTACATAAATTGTAGTTGTAGTGTTTTTTAGTGCAATAACTTTGATGAATTTGTTATGTAATTGTAATTTTTAACCTTAAGTAATAATTGTATAAGTTTATGATAATGTATGTATGTACTATCACCATAATTCTGTCTTAGGACTGCAAGTGTGACATATGTGAGGGAAATGTTAAATAAACCATTCTTATCTACACTGACACATTGCAGGTCTATGATGGACATGGTGAACACCGAGGTGGAACAGGATCAGCTGAACCAGCTGGTGGACGCCATGATGGAGGCAGGAGGGGTGAGCGACCACGAGGTCCTAACGCTTCAGGACTTCGTCAACATCCTGGGCGACCAGAAACACGCTCTCAACAGGGCAGGGCTGCCCATGGATCTGCCAGGTGACAGATTGTGAAGTATCTGTATAGCCGGTATAACCACCCTTCGGCGTAACACACCAGCTTCTGTATCTGTATAGCCGGTATAACCGCCCTTCGGCGTAACACACCAGCTTCTGTATCTGTATAGCCGGTATAACCGCCCTTCGGCGTAACACACCAGCTTCGCAGGCATGCGGCGTGGCGGCGTCCCAATATAAGAAATAGGGTTTTATTTTGATTAGATTAGATTAGATTAGATTTGATTTGATTTGATTTATTGAAATTGCAACAGTGGCCCACAACCGAACCACCAACCCCCAAGACACATGTGCAGCGAGAATTGAGTAAGCACATTGGTAAAATGTTAATGAATATTATTAAAATGCATGATCAATTCTGATGTTGGAAATTATAGATGAAGCTCTGATGTGAGTTTTGAACTTGTAGCGGATTCAAGCGATGGTACACTATTTCATAACTGGTAGGTCTTTGGTAGGTCTTCAAACTGTGAGTAGTTTGGTGGCTCAGCGCTTCTTGTGTGTATCTGTAAAGAAGATATATTTGCCCTCCGGCGTAACACGTTAGACCAGCAAGATGTTGCACTGGGTTTAGTATCATTCATTGGAACCATGTACGTGGATATATACGTCTGCATCAAGCACAGATATCCAATAATTTATCAATCCTTCAAAGCGATAATATGAGATGGAGTGGCTGAAGCACCACGCTGTGTGATGTTGTTTTAGTTGTTAGCAGTTGTTTTCAAATATTGTGCAAATGTTCAGTTGAAAAAAACTGACTTCTTTTTTATTGCTATTACAGGCAACAATATCAAGATTCCTGACACTAAAGGAGTCCAGGCCAGGCCAGGTTTGACAAGGGAGAATACCATAGTTCGGCTGAAACAAGTGCACCAAGCCTACCAGTAAGTGTCGAACTAGCAACTGCTCCATTATCAGCAAATAATGATTTAGTTTATAGAATTTGCTACTATACAGAATAGCAAAGATCTTTTTATCACAACCATTTATTTTTCACAAGCCGACGTTTCGATGACCGTCAGTCATCTTCATCAGGTCAATTCTGACTGGTTTACTGGGCACTGACACTAGATGTTACTTGGTGCATAGTGCACTAAAGGTGTTACATAGATCATAGAGCACTTAAGCTAGTTTTTTTCTGTTTACAATACATTCATAATACATCAGTGTCAGTGCAGAGTAAACCAGTCAGAACTGCCCTGATGAAGATGACAGACGGTCATCGAAACGTCGGCTGGAAAAAATAAATGGTTGTGATAAAAAGAACTTTGCTATTAAGTCGTTTACCAACCTGATGAAATTATTTACGGTTGCTACTATACAATTCAATAGACGAGTCATTGGACACATGAAACTGGAATGATGTGTCAATACTTAACAGTACTCTGAGTTCGGAAATTCCGGCATAGGTTTTGAGAGAGTTGTAAAAATGTTTGCGGGAAATCAGTACCAGCCTTTTCCCTTTAGATACAAGCAAAAAGTAAATGTATAAAGATGAACGAAAACAGCTACCTTGAAGTTGAGGGGGGTGGGGTGGCAAACATGTGCTAAGCTTCCAAGTTCACCATCTACAAAAGTCATTTTTACTTTGAGGTAAAAACAAAATATGTATTATTGAGTGGCTGAGCTACATGTATGTGTGTGTTTTTTGTCCAGGCAGAGTACGTGAGTAGGTAGAACGGCAGTTGGTCAAAGGTCTTAGAATATGACAGGGAGCCAGCAAAATATTACAGGTCGACATAGTTACGTGAATTCCAGACATCGGGGACTGTATATGATAATTGTTTATTGCAAATTCTTGCCCGAGGGCTACTTGCAGGAACAGAAGAAACATGGTATAAAAACAGACAATTAGTACATATAGAACTACTGATAACTACTAAGAAACTACTGGTAAAAACTACTAGGTTTGACTTCTTTTTTGAAAGCAGAGGAAGACAAATGATCCCACTTTTTCTGTATATATACTTGCTTGACGTATTCTTGTTTCGTGAAAAAAATCGTACATTGCTTTGCATGTTTCCATAGTAACGAAGCAGAGATGATGCGACGCCGTCACACGCAGACGACCTCCGGGATAGAGCAGGGCCTCGGGCTGCGGATCGGCACCAAGTCCAAGGTCTACTCCACCAACAAGCTAACACAACGACTCAACAGCTTCAGCAGCAAGGTGCAGAACTACAGACTACAGATCTTCTGGATGACGCTGTACCTGCTGGTGACGGCCGGGATCTTCATAGAGAGGGCTTACTGTAAGTGGATTTCCGACTTCGATTCATTGTGCACGTGTGCATGACGTATGCTAAGGTCATATTTCCAACAGTTTGCAAGAACGCTTTTAAAAAATTTGACCAAAAATGAACGAAATTAATCATGAGCATATGAATTCTTTATTCACACATACAGCCAGACCGAGCTCCGGTTTTGAAATGTGACCTTAGCAGAAGGCGGTGTGGTAATTTTGATTTTTGCAGACACATATCGTCTATAAATTTTTAACTGGTTCCATGTGAAGGCCTGTTGCTAGAAACCTCTGCTTTGAGATAAAAATCAACATACGTTGCAAGTGTTATTTTATAAAACAGGTTTCATAATGGATCGTGGTTTAGACGAAAATTCGTTGCATTGCGAATCACAGCTGGACCATGATTTGGCATATTCAACAACGTGGCCGGCCATGCTGTCAAGCATTTAAATATAAAGAAATGTGTGTATACGTACTTCGGGTCATTCGGGGACTCCATGTTGTGCCTGTTATGATCAAGTGATTCATGTCTGTCAGTATGTCTGTGTGTCTGTCTGTCTGTATATATTTATGTATGTACGGGTGTGTATGTGTCTAGATTAGGGTTTAGTTTAGAAACAAAACACGTGATTACAAAACTCATAGTGGATCTGTGGCACCCCTCGGGAATCACAACGGGTAATTAGCTGCCGGGTCTCCGGCCCCTGTCGCCGCGTGGCCCCAGTCTGTCTCCACGCGCTATTGTATGTCATTCATTCCAAACTACGTAGAGAGAAGCGTGCAGATAATTTTGAGACTTGAGACTTGTGTTATTCCAAAATGCTTTGGAATGGATCACCTTTTGGAATATTCCACTTTGTAGTATTTCAAATAATGTTTTATGTGGCGTAGCGGCAGAGTGCGTGACTCGGAACCAATAGGTCCCTGGTTCGAGTCCTGACATGCCACCGATCGTGAAAATAAGTATTGTCCTGTATTTGTACTCTGTGTTGGTGGCGGCATAAAATAAGTTGATATAAGTTGAGTGTGTCGTCGCCATGTTTGGTCATTAAATGATGGAATAAAAGAAATTAAAAGAAAAATGTTTGGGGATGGAATACAACAGCATTGATTAACCTTAATTTTTAATTTTTTTCAGTCTACTCCATTGAACGTGAACACGCGGGGCTGCGCAGGATCACCGGGTTCGGCGTGTCGGTGACTCGCGGCGCGGCCAGCGGGATGATGTGGACCTACTCCGTCATCCTCATCACCATGTGCCGCAACACCATCACCCACATGCGCGAGACCTTCCTGCACCGGTACATCCCCTTCGACTCCGCCGTCGCCATGCACAAGTTTGTCGCCATGTCTGCGCTCTTCTTCACCAGTAAGTTTTCATTTTTTTGCAGTAAACAATCAATGATGTTGCCGTACTTTTAGAATGGATTGTTGAGAATTAAGAGGATGTCAAAATCCTGTCAAAATTTTGTATTGGTCTTTTGCCTTTTTGAGCGAGCCACTATGATTGATAAGACTGCATTAAGGCATTGAGTAAAGAGACTCTTTTTATATTTACGCAACCAAGTCATTTATTAGGCCGACATTTCGGTGACCGTCGACGTCTGTCACCTTCCTCAACAAAGCAATCCTGACTGCTTCACGTGCACTGCATCACAGGTGTTAATAAAAGATTTGGTTGACTGTGTAAAATAAATCTCTTTACTCATTGTCTTAACAACCTGATGAAACTATTCACGGATGCACGAAGGCATGCGGGTCAATTGATTTGGAAATTTTTTACAATCTCTCGTTCCTTTTCTTCCCCCTGACCAGTCATGCACTGCTTTGGTCACGGCATCAACTTCTTCCACATCTCCACCCAACCTGCGGACGACCTGACCTGTCTCTTCAGGGACTTCTACCACAGGTGAACCCTCCTTCACACACATCGTATGATGCACACTTATGATGAGTATGGCGGCAGAACGTCTCTTTTAAGTCGTATTCGCGTATATTAAGGATGACGTCCTGTCAATAGTTTTCTAATGTTGTGTCAGAAAATACATCGTCTGCAATGGTCGAAATTTTGTTTCAATGTTGGCCAAATAAAAACCGTGAAAAATCCGCGGTGATATCATCATGGATGAAGAATATCATCGTACGTGCATTAAATGTACAATAGAATGTTAATTGAGATGAATGGTTCAAAACGAGTACCATACGCAGCATATCAACGATAAATTTTGTGTATTTATGGGGACCTATTTCTTTGATTTATGTCAGGTACGATAAGTAGAATATTCATGAAGCCAATAAAATGATTTGATTTGGTATTGAAACAATTATGCCAAAGTGCTCTCAGTCTTAAAATGCTAACAGTTTTTTTCTACTTTTCAATATCAACCATAGGTCCTTTGATCTGCCCAAGTTTCACTACTGGCTGTATGAGACTACTACAGGTTTGTAGACGACTTTTGTAAACCATTCTAGAATGATGATATTTAGGAACATCAAAGTGTGCCAAGTAAGCATAGTCTTACGCTTGTCCATAAGGGAATATTTTCTTGCATTGCTATCTGCAGTTCGAAATCCATACTTCAAAAAGTCGCTTAACTTATGTGAAAATTAGTATTGTCTTGTCCTGTATTGGTCATCTGTGTTGGTGGCGGCATAGAATAAGTTGATATAACTTGAGTGTGCTGTCACCATGTCTAGCCATGAAATATTGGAATAAAAAAAGACGCTGCGTTATGACAGTATATGACATTTGTACTATTTGAGAGTTTTGTAACGATTATAACATTTGCTGCAGGTACATTCCCTTAACATGTACATATTGCTTGCACATGTATAATCCTAGGCATGACCGGGGTCCTGCTGGTACTGGTCCTTGCTGTGATGTACGTGTTTGCAACCCAGTACTCCCGACGTTACCTGTTCAAGGCCTTCTGGTTCACCCACAACCTGTACCCGATCATGTACATCCTTACAGTTGTGCATGGATCCGGCCATTTAGTGCAGGTACGTCTAAGACTAGAGCCCTACTCTGTCACACAGCTACCTTTGTAAAGCAAATTTGCGAATTTGAGTTGGATGTGAGTCAAATTTGACCACCGGACACGTCCTAAACATTGCCAACCCATATATATCTACTTCATAACACCAGCCAGACAAGCTAGTTTGAACCTCCCGTTTGAATTTCACAGTCTAGTGTTTTAATTAAAACATCTTAAAACATTTAGCTGTCGCAACCGAACTATGGGCAGCTTTATCGAACACCAGCCAACCACATCCAAACTTGCTCCCAACCTACTTCCAACCATGGTTGGGTGGAATTCGGCCAGTGCTCGGGAGGCCATATTCGGCTATGTGTCTTTATACCTCGATATCATAAAGCTAATTCTTATAATAAGGAGACTTTAATGTTTCAAGACAAACAAAATTTCTTTCTCTCTATGTTTCTTTTGTCTTTTTTGTAACTAATATTTTGGCCAGTACAATTGATAATCAATACTTGATTTATTCATAAGCTCAAATGTCGCAGTTATTTTTTTCTTTCTTTGCCTTTGTTGGTAAAATGGTAACGTATTTTAGATCATATGGTTTGACACAAGCGTTTGCATCATGCAGGAGCCGTACTTCTATTATTTCCTACTGGGCCCGCTGGTCCTGTTTACTTTGGACAAACTGGTGTCCATCAGTCGCAAGAAGGTGGAGATTCCTGTCCTCAAGGCCGAGCTGCTACCATCAGGTAAATTTTGAGTTATATATATATACACTAACACCCTCTATCTGGTACTGGTTCAATTGCAATTCTGACTAAATTGATTCTGCTTAAAAAGTTAAAAGCAACTTTGATTCGATGTGTTATTCCAAAATCCATGTCAAGTTTTGGTTGAAAAAATCAACTATTATTGTCTGGAAAGCTTCCAAAATTTAATGGAATTTGTTGTTTGTTGTATGAAAAATTAGTTCTTATGTGTTGTGCATATTGTCATTGTCGTGAATTTGTATGTTTTGTTTGTACCTACGTTGTATTTTCATGTACTACTATGTAATGGTCAGCACAATTCAGCAGTCCATAATTTGTTATCTGCCGCTACATGTATGCTGACCACTGTCTTGAATAAAGAATGCTATGCAATACATATTTTGGCAAATGTACCAAGTTTTTACACACTAAATCCCGTTGAAAATAATTTTTTTTTAGCCGTCACAATGTTGGAGCTAAAGCGACCGGCTAACTTCGACTACAAGTCCGGGCAGTGGGTGCGTATCGCCTCGGCCGCCCTGGGGAATAACGAGTACCACCCCTTCACGCTGACCTCCGCGCCGCACGAGGACACGCTCAGCCTCCACATCCGCTCCGTCGGACCCTGGACCAACAACCTCAGGAAGGTGTACGACCCCGCCAAGATCGAGGGACACGATCTCCCTATGGTAGGTCGTGGTGCTAAAGATATGCTTCGTGGTCACACATTGATACGAGTATCGTAGGCGGTCGTGCGATTCTGATTCCGTAGAATTTTCAAACTGACTCTGACAGAACCAACCGCCGACGAGCATTCAAGACAACATCTTTAGTTGAATTTGCACAACATACGAATGACTATATCGTACGACAATTGTACGACAAATGTGAGCAGGCCCATACTGGCCATATGGCACGTAAAGCGCCACACACATGTGATTCCGTGGCTAAAACCTGAAGTGAAAAAGTGATGTTTTCTTAGCCTCACTGATTCCATAACACTACTAGCTTCCTGCTTCATATTTTTGCCATTTTACTTCTTAGCTCATTTATAATATCTTTATAACGATGAGGACATGAACTATAATGACTTCTTAAACATCCCTTAAACATTCCACTTCATTTTAATAGAGACATAAGCATTGTTACACGTAATTTCCAATCTGTGAAACGAGCAAAACGACATGTAATAAAACGAACCAAACACTCTGAATGCGGCCCAGAAAGTCTGAAGGCTATAGCTACTGCTGTTGATCCTAATTTTAGACAGCGATTATGCAATATGTAACATGATAAAGATGAAGATTGTCTAGGCTCCTTCGCATAGTGATTTTTGAAGCGGCGGCGTTAATTATTTTCAGGGAGTGACGCGAGTTATGCTGCGGGGGCGGTTTTGCCGCCGAGGGACTTTGCCGGGGAGAGACGGTCCCTCGGCGGCAAAACCGTCGCGTCCACGTCGCTCCCCGTAAAAAATGTCGCCGCAGCTTTAGAAGTCTGGAAAGGAGGCTAAGGATTGCCCAGTGACATATACTATAAATGTTGCCCTGCAGGTGTATGTTGACGGCCCCTATGGAGAGGGTCACCAGGACTGGTACAAGTTCCCCGTGGCCGTGCTGATCGGCGGCGGGATCGGAGTCACGCCATTCGCCGCCATCCTGAAGGACATCGTGCACAAGTCAGAGATGGGGGCCAAGTTTGTTTGCAAGAAGGTAAGCCTCTCATTTAGGCTTGAATAAAGATACTTTCTGCAATTATGGGAGTACGGATTTCATTGATGGCATCTTGACATTGGCTACCCCCTCCCCTCATAAAATAATGCTCTAATAATATTATTAACGCAGATGCGATATCTGGACCTAGAAATTCGTTAAATTATTTCGTATGACTGAGATGTGAATTCATCTTTACGCTACCTTGATATGATGCATTATTAAAAAGTATAGACATCAGAACAGGTGTTTGCAGAGTGACAGATAAGGGGGCATGGTGTAACCACAGACTGGTAGGCTGGAAGGAAGTAAAGGGTTAAAAGATTACCATTACTTATTTCTGTCTTCATAATCCTGCTATATTCCTGCCTGCTTCCTTATGGAAATCAGCGAAGAAATGCATATGCAAAACTAGAATATACAAAAGGGAATAAAACAAGAAATTCATTTTAAATTCTTCATGCCATTCTAAATTTTTCTTTTTCTTTTTTCTTTTATTTTTTTTGAAATTCATTTTTACTATAAGCAAACACTCACATAGACATAGAGCCTCCCTAATTGGACATAAGCGCTAAATGACTAATACATAAAGTAATATCTATAAACAAGCCTTATATAAGGTACCCACTTACCCCGATGCCTCTCCAGCTTCCCTCTCCGAGACGCAATTAGGTATTCTGTCTTTTGATAGAAAATTACTAGTTTTCTAAAGAACTCGAAATTTAAAATTTTAGATGCCCTAGACTGAAGCATGACAAGCTTACCTAATAAAAAGATTAAATTTGTTAACGGTTTCGCGCCGATTTCTTGTTAGATTTACTTCCTGTGGGTGACTCGGACCCAGCAGCAGTTTGAGTGGCTGACTGACATCATCCGGGAGGTGGAGGAGAAGGACAAGAACGACCTGGTCAGCGTGCACATCTTCATCACACAGTTCTACCAGAAGTTCGACCTCAGGACAACCATGCTGGTACGGACACAGGTTTCTTTATAGAGTTAGCTTAGTCATCAAGTGTTAAAACATCTTCATCACACAGTTCTACCAGAAGTTCGACCTCAGGACAACCATGCTGGTAAGGACACATGTTTCTTTATACATGTACATGTACATACAACTAACAGTAGTGTAGAACATCTTCATCACACAGTTTTACCATACCAGAAGTTTGACCTCAGGACTACCATGCTGGTACGGACACATGTTTCTTTATACATGTACATACAAGTCTGCTTGGTCAACAAGTGTTACTGTAACAGTAGTGTAGAACATCTTTATCACACAGTTCTACCAGAAGTTCGACCTCAGGACAACCATGCTGGTAAGGACACACAATCAATCAATCAATGAAAAATGGTTTATTGATAAAAGACATTGCAGCCAGACAGGCTGAATTGCGCCTTCTGTACATACATATTGTGCAGGACACATTAAAATATTTACAACAAAGTTTTAAAATAATACATAGCTTTAAAATAATACATTTTAAAATAATACATTAGTGGCAATTGCTTCTAATATCAGTTAGCGTTCAGGATCCGCAACATCGACGGTACAGGACTGTTCTTAAACCTTAGAGTTCGGCAGGTCGGTAGGGTCAGTTCATTAGAATTCCTAAGGGACCGTCCATGTGTTTGTCCCCTGGAAACGGGTACTAACTCAACAGTTCTTTCAGATGTTGCCATGCTGCTTGCAAATTTGGCGCACAAGTGGTCTCGTCTGGTAGCAAGTCTCTTTAGTCCGCAGACAGTAAGTGCTGTGTTATAGTCTGTGTAAGCCCTCCCAAGAATGATGCGACATGCCCGCTTCTGCACACGTTCAATGGCTGCCGTTTGCTGATTAGATAGGCCATGATGCCAAACAGGTACACAGTACTCTAGTACTGGCCGGATGAACCCACAGTATACCGTCACAAGGTCAGACAGTGCTAGGCCAAAAGTTTTCAGTCTACGGATCATGAACATACGCTTGCTTGCCTTTTTTGTCATCTCACACACTTGTGTTTCCCATTTGAGGTTTGATTGTAGCCATAGTCCCAAAACTTTCACTACATCCACTGCTGCAAGCTGTTGTCCATCAATGGTTATTGGGAGGGGTGGGGGTGGAGTTTTCATAAAGCTAACAGTGAAAGTAAAACATTTCTTTGGATTGAGTTTAAGTTTTGTGTCCTTGGACCATTTGTTCAAGTTCACTTGTTCTTGGAGATGCGACTGTTCCTGGATATGTCTGTTCTCTCCGAGAGACAGATCATCAACGTACTTCCACCGGTCGGCATATGCTAGGCAGGCATCGTTGATCATGCATAGAAAGATAATAGGTCCAAGTTTTGTGCCCTGTGGTACGCCGGTGGTGAGTGTTTGCCAGTCTGACAGTGAGTCTCCATATCTAACACACTGTCGTCTCTCCGAGAGGAAATCGACAATCCAGGGTATGATACAAGGTCGTGTTCCCATGCTCAGGAGTTTGTTAACGGCCTGTTCGTGGTTGATTGTGTCGAAGGCTTTGGTAAAGTCGGTCAACACAATGGTACCCACGTTTTTACTCCTCTCTGAACCTTGAAACAGGAAATGTACTAAGCTCACCAAACAGTGTGTAAGGACACACTTGTTTATTCATACATGTACATACAACTCTGCTTGGTCAACAAGTGTTACAGTAACTGTAACAGTAGTGTAGAACATCTTTATCATGCTGTTCTACCAGAAGTTTGACCTCAGGACAACCATGCTGGTACGGACACATGTTCCTTTATTTATATATGTAGAGTCGGCTCGGTCAACAGGTATTACTGTAACAGTAGTGTAGAACATCTTTACCACACAGTTTTACCAGAAGACAACTATACCGGTACGGGCACATGTTTCATTGTAGAGTTAGCTTAGTCTACAAGTGTTACTACATTTTTATCACACAGTTCTACCAGAATTTTGACGAAAGGAAATTTATTGTGGTATAGACACGTTTCTTTATCAATTTTGTTTATAAAATCTTTGTGGTTAACAAGTATTATTTCAGAACACTTGTGGCGGTAGGACACTTTTGGTACATCGATAGCTAACTCCTAAACCATGAAAGTTAGAGTTTTGAGGTTCATGGACACACACAACCCCTAGTACATTTTAGATCTGAAATTCACGAAAACATACGCTTAAAATCCCCACAGTACATTTAAACTTTGAAAATTCAACAAAATCCTTTTTCCCCACAGTACATCTGTGAGCGCCACTTCCAGCGTATTTCTGGGCGGAGTCTGTTCACCGGCCTCAACTCCATCACCCACTTCGGCCGTCCTGACTTCCAGCACTTCTTAATGTCACTGCAGGAGGAGCATCCAGAGGTCAGTCTACATTCTTCTGTCATACAGGCATAGCTATATTGTTACAACAACAATAATGAATGAATGAATGAATGACGACCTTTATTGCACATTTTGCCACACTTGGCTAAGTACAGGTCAAAACAAGACATGATGAAAAGATACATACAAAATAAAACTAGCTATCATTACATAAACTCAACTTCTCGCTTTTCCGTTATAGTAGAGATAAAGGAACAGATATGTTTTTCAATGGAAAGTTTGTCAAGTCGCATTAGGAATATGAATTTTTCTACAGTGCTCAAGTGTATGAAGTAAGAAAATAGGTTTTGTACAAGCCTATACAGATCATTTCTCTCTAATTACAAAAGGTAGTGGATGGCAAAACTATAATCAGTTGCTTGTCAAATGAGTATCTGTTTTTTGCGCATCTTATTATCTCGATGTGTAACCTTTACCGACGTCTTCCATACTACTTTCAGCCAGAAGGTTATTAACTTAAGCCTGTATTACTTAGTATACAATATAAGGCAACACCAATTTTATTTGTTGGTTCTCGGATTCGCCTCTTCATCTGTTCCTGATTTGCAAAAAATAAAATTCTGAATCAACTCAAAATTGCTTATATTTTGTCCTCAACAGTTGAGAAAAGTAATTTTCTTCCTAGTTGTTACATTTTTTCCATCTATCAAAGCAGAGGTTTGATTAAAAGTTCAAAATTCATTTTTAAAATTATAACCCAGCCTTTTTTGTTGACTTCATGGCTCCTATCGTTGCATTTGGCGCTATAAGAGGATGCCAAACCCTGTTTTTATTTTTTTATTTTTTTCGCCCTGTTGCTTCATATTTTTTCTGGAAAAATCCGAGAACAAACAAATCAAATTAGTGTGGCCTGTCTAACTAAATCTAGTTATATATATTTATATGAATATAACTATGGGTTTTCATACGGGCTTTTTTGTCATCTGTGCTTTTCTGTTTTCAGACACTGTTTGGTGTGTTCAGCTGTGGACCTCCACCAATGACAGCGGACGTTGAAAAAGCCTGTAGCGAAATGAACAAGCTTACCTTCGGCGGCGTGTCCTTCATTCACCACTCAGAAAACTTCTAAGACACCACAACATTGTCTTCTCACTTAAAGTTAAAACTTTTGGTCCAACACAAAAAATCTCTCCCCTTCGAGCATTCGACCAATCACTCTGGTCTTCCTCAGTAGACTGACCCAGTGAAGCCCTGTATATGGCTTCCTTCACCCCTCTCAAGAAATAGTCTTGTTCAGTGTCCAAAATCCTTACAGTGAACCGCGACGGGGGCCGACATCGTCTACCATATACGGCACGTCGGCAGAACGTACTGCGCCTGCGCAGAACCCCGTATTTTTGCGTTTTTCGTTGGGTTTTTGGTCAACGTTGCATCAGAATTTTGCCTGTTGCAGAGAATATTCTTTCCGACACAACATGTGGAAACTACTGTCGAAATGTTAACCTGCCAAAGTGCTATGTACAATACATTACGGGTTTCGCGCAGGTGCAGTACGTTCTGCCGACGTGCTACCTTTGACCCAGTGTTGACGTCACACTTTAAAGAAGCCACGTGACAAGCTTCACTGGATCAGTCTACTTAGGAAGTGACTGGCCGAAAGCTATAGGTGAAATGATTTTTTGTGTTGGACCAAAAGTTTAAACTTCAAACATGTAACTACCAACACAAATGAATTTTCATGATACAGGTTTTCTCGTATCACTCTATTGCTTTTTATACAATCATGACTTTATTGCACAACGATTGTGCAAGGTAATATGTTTGGCATCTACTTGTACATATAGCTACATTGCATAACGCTAAACTACATAATACAAGAGAGTGTGGTATGGGATAAAAATTGGTTTTTACAGTCATTGGTGGAATTTGTATCGTCTTAATATATTTTACTATATTTATCATGTAGGGGTTGTCTCATGATGCCATTATGCACTTAAATTTGCTAAATACGAAGAGTACTTGTCTACGAAGACACTAAAGATACCAAGGGCGTACTTCGTAGATACGTTTGACTGCATTTGTGCACGTGACAATTTTAAAACCAATTTTATTTTTCTATGTTAATATTATTACTTATTTCATTTATCTGACAATCATATTATCAAGGATGGTTGCAAAGTGCTGATACATGTAAAAGTAACCTGTTAATTCAGAATATGTACATTGAGTACATACAGGGTTATATTATTGTCTTGTTGGTTTGTTATTTGAATTAGGGGATTTTTTACATTCAGGATGTAAGAATAGCTAAATTTTGTTCTGAATAGATTAGAGTCAAAGTCAGAAGATGAGAATAAACAAATGTAATGAGTACAGTTAGTTGTCCAGTGTTGGACATAGTCCATGTTATAGACTCAGCCCAAACCATCACAACTATTACAAGTATTTATTGTGTTTTTTTGTGCTGTGTGCCTAAACAGAATTGTGTGTGCCTCTGGAGAGTTTCTTCCGTGGCAAGGTTCTTTTTTTGTGTGTGTTCACATATATAAATCACGAAACTTTTGACAGATTTGTGTAATTTCCAGTAAATCATTATTATTAAGATACATAAAGGGATGGTGCGCTTTGATAGAGCGGATTCTATCTGTATTTCTTATGTATTTGGCTACTATTAGACACCCCTGAGCAGTATGTGGTGTGGGATCGTACCTGTTGAGCTGTCATGCGTTAAGCCGTGAATATATTTTATTAAATCCATGAAAAATGGGGGTATTGTTTTTGGTGTGTCTCTGTGTGTCTCTGTGTGTGTTTCCCCACATTTGTAGTCAGCAAAACTTCTTCAGAACGCCTTTATGGATCGTGATGATATTTGGTATGTTGGTTTGTCATAGGAAGACAAAAGTCAATGTCAAATATGGGCCTCCTAGCCTAGTGGATGATCTTGGTACTGCAGCAGAACTTCCGTTTTTTGTATCTGTTGTCCTGAACATGCTATCATCTTCGATTTTTTGTGACAGATAGCTTTTCCTGTCAGAAAAAAAAATGGTGTGGGTTTTGTTCCCATATCAGCTTGTTCTGGAACTTTAATTGAGGTTTCTGGCGAAATCTTTTATAGCAGATAAATCCAGAAAAAAACAACGTATTTTCATCATTTTTATATGTAGGTGACTTAGAGAGAGATGTACATAATTAAATGCAAATCATGCAAATGAAGACTTTATTTGAATAATCAAAAGAAATTCTGAAATTACAGTGTTTTACATCATAGTAATTTCATACATGTAATGTATGTAATCTACGGCAAGTGGAACATCAACAGATACCAAGTATGTAAATAATGAGCTAATCAATGAGCTATTCTGTACTTTGTTTACACAAGGCATTTTTTGCACCAAATTTTGAAATATTTTGATTGAAAAAATCTTCTAATGATTTTCATTTACTTCTACTGTTCAATACATTTGTGCTATAATTTCATACTTCTGCTTCATTTATGGTTGTCAGTAAAAAACAGCCCACGAGGTGCACACATTTTTTGAATGAAAACACCCAGCTAGAAAATATTACACTCGAATGGTGTAATTTTTTTCTTGAATGACACCCATATGCAATATAAAGATTCAACATAGTTTGAAAATCAATGACCGGAAAATTGACTTATATCGCCCTAATGTTACATTATATAAAGTTTTAACTTTAAAGCTACATGTACCTGTACAACTCGACACAATGTCCAGAAAAACACGCTACAGCTATGTGGCCATCCGGTGTCATCGCGATTCCAGCGGGGCTTCCCGCCTGAACTGCGGCCACGGTTCTCAGGTACGTCCCGTCAGGCCTGAACTCCTGCAGACGGCGGTTATTCAGGTCCGCTACGATAATGCTTCCTGCCGGGTCTAACGTCATCCCCGATGGACGGTTGAACTCTCCATCACTCTCCCCAAATTTACCAAAACTAAACTTCAACTTCCCCTCAAGGTCGAACACGAACACTTTATGGGCAGCGGTGTCAGTGACAAAGAGAAGGTCACGTGATTCGTCCACCGCTATGAACCATGGGTTTTGTAGCTGCCCCTTGCCGATGTCCCGGATGTGACTCCCGTCATGCTGCAGGAGGAGACACGACATCTGCCTGTTATCCGCCACCACCATGCGGCCGTCCTTCAGAACTGCAACACCAGTCGCATGCTGTAAACAGTCAGGTTTTACGGTTCTTGTGAGTTTTCCTTCCTTTGAGTACACAAAGACTGCTTGTTTGCCAGCGCTGAACATGTTTTCCGACGTCACCAAAAACTGTCCACTGGAGTCAGTGTCTATGCCGAACGAATCCTCACCATCAAGCAAGAAACACCTAAGCGACTGGCCAGTCATGGAATCGACTATCTGAACCCGTCTGTTCCCTGCCTCCAAGACTGCAATGTTACCATCCATGTCCACTGCTACATCTGATGGGCAAGAAAGTTCTACCTCCCCACCTCCTTCTCCTCCGATGGTTAAGACTGGGGTGTCCCTGATTTCCACTATGACGTCATACGGACTTCCCGCCACAGACATGCCGTTCACCTTGACCTCTAACCTATGGTTGCCGGTGACCTCGGGTGTGTAGGAGATTTCCCACAATCCCTTGCCCTTCTGCTGCAGCTGTGTTGGTACCGCCCGGCCCAAGGGGTCCGTTAGGAGGGCTGTGATGTCATCTTTGGGCACAGAACAAAGTCGCCCATTTCTATCAATTGTGCTGAAGAGAGAGACATTTCTACACTCTACCACGACAGGTTTTATATCAAGTGAACATTTAGATGCGTCTACCTTTACTTTGACTTGTACGAACCCCGCCTGGCCCACGGCATCTCTGAGCTCCTCCACAGCCGTCCCCTCCGAGAACACGACGTGACTCGGTCGGGCTGTCAGGTCGGTTGGAGTTGTCAGTAGTTCTTCCACCCTCTGTCGTACTTGACCCTCGACCTCGATGACGTGCACGTCACTACGGTGTTCCAATGCTTGTTTACAGAACTCAGACGCCATGATCAGTCCGGTTAACTCAAACTCCATCGCTTCTTTCTGTGTGTCCAGACATGCTCCGACTCTCTTGAGGCTTGAGCCTATTTCTTTGACAACCTCTTCTTTTCTGTCTTGAATCAAGGCGATCAGTTCGTCAAAATATTCTGTGGCCTTTTCAATCGCTGCCTCTGCCATTGTTGGCAACTCCAATATTTCCGTCTCCACTTTACTCAGGGTCGCTCGCACGACTTTTTCTCTAGGCTCGACTTTCAGTAACAGTTCTTGTAGATCTTGTTTCTTTCTCTCAGCGACGGCGACGATGTCTACGGGATTGTGTTGATCACTCCGTCGATGATCAACAACAGTACAGTCGACACAGACCAGAGTCTGACAAGGTTCACAGTAGAAACTTAAAACTTGTTGTTCGTGCTTCGGGCAGAAGGCTTTACGCTGAAAGTTGCTGGGAACACCTTCAGAGGCTTCGAGGTTCTCTTTGGTCACGATCTGATGCCCTCTCATGGCAGGAAACTTGCGATGTGTGTTTGTACAGGACTCACAGAGCAGAACGGCACACTGTACGCACCATACCCGCGATCCTCCCTCCTTCCCCTCGCACACCTGGCACGGCACACCTGGCTCCGCCCCTTTCTTCACGGCCGCGAAGTCCAGCAGTTTGTTGACGTAATAGTTGCTCATGAGTCTGCCAACACTTTGTTCTGAAAGACTGACCCGTTTGTGGCAGGTTGGACACTCCAGCGGCTGTTGTTTGGTGGCCCATTCTTGCAGACATTGTTTGCAAAATGTGTGCAGACATGGCAGGATTCTGGGGTCCCGGAAGTGCAGCATGCAGATCGCGCACGTCAGGAACTTCTCGTCAACCTCGGCAGATTCTTGCTTTTTACTCGCCATTGTGCCACAAAGACTGTTGGTACTAATGACTAAGTTGCTAAGCTGTAGTCTTACTTGGTTGGTAAGACTAAGATCTAAATACGGCTGGTAATTGTGGAACTGGTCACAGTGGCTTCTCGGAACTCAGTTTCGGAAGGCTGACGTCACGAAACTTTGACCATTGACCTTTGCACCCCTACCTGCGTGTATCACTTTGGCTGTTAAACTGTATTATCATATAGCCGGACGGCGTGGACCAATCAGAGGCCCGGATACCCGTGCTGTTATTTCCCGATAACAGCACATGTGGTGTTATGGCGGAATAACAGCACGTCGTGTTATGGCTGATACCATTATGTTATAGGGTATAGGGGCATGCGACTCTTTCTGTAAACCTTTGTAGCATTTTTCTGTCCAATAAACTTTTTTGTTTAGCTTCATTTAAACTACAATTTGCATTAAATGAAATTATCCATATTTGTTTTAAAGCGTATAATATATTCGAATGTATTTTTATGTATGTATATATATTAAAGCTGTTGTATTTCAAACAGGAATTGTGTTGATTGACAGTTTGGATAGGCTATATGATAATAATTTTAATGCACTGCCTTTTCCTCGTTGTATATGGTGTCATAACTGCATGGGCAGCTGCCATAACCACCTCATAAACCACCTCGTTCGCTTCGCTCACACGGTGGTTTATTCGGTGGTTATGGCAGCTGCTCATGCAGTTATGACACCATATACAACTCGGGGCAGTGCATTAACCCTTTATTATATGTTTTCTGTTACAGAATATGGAGAGTTTCTGCACGCCAAGGGGAAGATGTTCTCGGATTTCCACGAGATCCGTGCGGAGATCGAGGCAGAGACGGATCGGATGACGGGATCCAACAAAGGGATCTCTCCTGTCCCCATCAACCTGAGGGTCTACTCCCCCCACGGTGAGTCCAACATGGTATGATCCATATGTAGTAGAACATAGATGTAGATAGCACGTCAGCAGCATTCCCATATAAGGTTGTATTCGCGCATATAAGATCAACACTCCGTCTGTAGTTTCCAAATGTTATGTTGGAAAAAATATCGTATGCACCAGGCAAAATTTTAATGCAACATTGACCAAAAATCCAACAAAAAAAGTGAAAAATTGGGGTTCTGTGCAGGCGTCTGCTAATTGTTACTTAAATACATTCATATATATGATCAGACAGGAGTATAAATTCCTCCTACTATAAAATTGTAACATTATAACTAAGTTGTAACCCAACACCAGAGACGTTAACGAATCAGGTCATTGGCTAGATCAGAGGCCAGTGTTTGGAACGGAAGAAAAGAAAACGTAGCAAAAACAATATGTTTTTCTTCGGTAAACAGAAAAAAAAAACCTTTAGATTAAAATGTCTGATTGCAAAGACAAACACAAATTGTGCTGAAGTTGTTCGATGTTCTCCACCCTTCCAGTCCTGAACTTGACCCTGATTGACCTTCCGGGTATGACAAAGGTCCCTGTTGGTGACCAGCCTCCCGACATTGAGCAGCAGATCAGAGACATGCTCCTCCAGTTCATCACCAAGGACAACTGTCTCATCCTGGCCGTCTCACCGGCCAACCAGGACCTGGCTAACTCTGACGCCCTCAAGATAGCCAAGGAAGTTGACCCACAGGGTAGGATCGCGTGTTTGGACTTACTTTTGCCTAACATTTCCATGATAATATTAGCACATTGATAAAAACCTATACCGATGTAACCAATCTTTATCATCTTAATGGAAAATGTGATGGTTTTGTCTACTATCTTTCATCATCATCATCATCGCTATCTTTATTTATAATCCAAGTCAACTTGTGTTTTGAAAAAGTTGCATGATTCAATGATGTTCAGTGACCTCACCATTTCTCAGTTGCTTGATTTCCTTATAACAGTAATGTTCCCATTCCTGTGTTTGAAAATGATTATATCACACTTGTACTATGCTTTACAGTTAAACAGTATTAACTATTTTTACTATGCAATGGTGGCACCCTCTTTGTATGTGATTATGTAATGAGTTATGATGCCTGCTTTATTATATGATGCTTTACTCTTGAACATAACTTGTGTATGATATACTATGCTTTGGTTTGCTCCTATTCTTTGATGATCTATTTTCAGGTTGACTAACATGTGTTGGTGGTAACAACTTGAAAGTTTCAGTTTTCTTACTTGATGATGCCAGTCTGTGATGGTATTTTACTCTAACTTTGAAACTTAAACTCTTTCAGTTCCTTTCTTTTCTAGAGTCTGGTTTGGTTTTCTGTGTTCTTGGCAAGTGGTGTCTCAGCGATTCGTGGAAAATTTTTGTGAGTTGGAAATAAAAGTCCAGTCGGGGATGTCTCTAGGCCTGTTCACTTCTGTAAATTTTGATTTTAGATGGTAACGATTGCCAAAATCCAATGCATGATTTCACAGTCAGTAGGAGAAAGGTAAAGTGATTCAAAAGTTTGATTCTCACAAAATGGAGAACACACATTGTACCACCGTCTAGAGACTGCCCTGACGACAACAGCCAACCCTAACATGTCCCTGTTGTGTCTGTCTTAACCATTTTTTCCAGGCATGCGCACCATTGGTGTCATTACCAAGCTAGACCTCATGGACGAAGGCACGGACGCTCGAAACGTACTCGAGAACCGGACCTACCCTCTGCGCAGAGGTAAGGTGCCCTTGTGAACTTACATAGCGATAAAACGTGCCGTCTTGTGCCGCTTGCAGGGATGCGTACGATCGGGGTACTGACCAAGCTGGACCTGATGGACCAGGGAACCCACGCCGGCGACATTCTGGACAACAAGACCTACCCCCTCCGCAGAGGTTTGCTGCTCTGACAGATCGTAGCCTAGCTGCCGTAGTTGTCAAACTCTACCTATAGTTGTCTGTTGCAGGCACTCAAGAAGTCAACAGTGGATACAGATTGACTGTGACTTTGGAATCATTTCCTACTCTATATCACCCCCTTCCCAAATATACAGCTTTCACACATCTTAGTAGATTAACCACATTCTCTCCAGCTTTCCCTTCCAAGTGTATAGTAACTGGAATACAATGTGGTAGCCACTATAAATGCCTGAATATGTACACATACATTGTACATTAGTGTATACCTGAAGTTGAATGGATAGTTCTTCCTAAATGCTGCTAATTTAACTAAGGCCAGCATAATGCATATCTTTGGTGAAAAAGCTACACTCTCCACACCTTCAACATTATTTGTGACCTGCTTGGATGCACTCTCATAAGGTATTTCTTTGTTCTTTTCTTTCTTTTGATTCTCTTATTTACATACCAAAACCTCCAAGTTAGAGCTGACTGCTTCATATTCATATCTAGCCTGCACCTACTAAGTTAGAGTAAGACACATTACTTTGTAGTTCTTTTCTACATTATTGGGTGGTGCTCACATTTTCTTGCTGGAAAAGTTGCCCACTTTTGCTGAAATATTTTTCTCTTGGTGAAGCAAATTATGTATTATGTGATATAGATAGTGACGTAAAAAGAACCTTACAAGTCACATTATGGTGCATGTAGTTATGTGTGTTAGTTAAGTTTTTCTGCTGTCTTTCAATGGATACTGATCGTACATTATGTGACTGTTTAGGGTACATTGGAGTTGTGAACCGGAGCCAGGCAGACATTGATGGCAGGAAGGACATTAAGGCAGCTCTAGCAGCCGAGCGCAAGTTCTTCCTGAGTCACCCCGCGTACAGGCACCTGGCAGACCGCATGGGGACACCTTATCTGCAGAAAACTCTCAACCAGGTAAATAGTAATCATACAGATTTGCCAAACATTCATTTTGTATCACCTATCCCTTAGTCGACTGTTGGGGCACCAAAGACGATCATATCCAGTTTTTCCACCTTCCCGGTTTTCTTCTCTTCCTAGCATTTCAAGTAGTGTTGTGCCAGTCCATTCTCTAAAATCATCTTTTCCATTGCTTACCCCCCATTCTCCCTCCCTTGGCTGCTTCTTGCATGATAGGACCGTAACACATGGCGATGCCACTTACCACTATTTCTTTACTGTGATAGAAGCAACTTGATGTTGGTATTAAAAAAAATAAGACTTAAGGTATTAATTTTGTTTCTGTAGAAATAGAAAGCAGGCATTGTTATGTCTTGGAAAACAATGAACTAAGTAGATCTGCATCAGGAATCTTTGTGATGATGACTTAAATGTGAATGTCTGTCGTGTTTCAGCAACTGACAAACCACATCCGGGACACGCTGCCTGTCCTGCGGAACAAGCTGCAGGGACAGCTGCTGGGTATGGAGAAGGAGGTGGAGGAGTACAAAAACTTCCGCCCTGACGACCCCACCAGGAAAACCAAGGCCATGCTACAGTCAGTATCTCAAGATTCACATTGAATATTAAATGAAAGACCTTTACTGTTATTGTTATTTTTATTTATTTATTGCTCTTACATAGCTAAGTATAGAGATACTTGTATGTCACTGTACAAAATTTACAGAGATATTGCACTATGCAATCATACTGATGTGAATTACTACCTGCCAGTTTGACTACTACAATGTATGTGCAATTATTGTACATTTCATTTAGAAGCATGTTGGCAGAATATACTATGGCTGCGTGAAATCCGGAACATAAAACGTCAATAGCACTTGTACAGAATGTATCGTTTAAGGCTGTGTTGGTGTATTTAAGGATGACATCCTAAAAAAATTAATCCAACTGTTGTTGTTGGGAAAGTTCATGGACAAAATTCTCAGGCACCTTTGACCAAACACCCAACAGAAAGTTTAGTGCAGCCACCGTATATTCTGCCATCCTGGTTATGACTGTGTGCATTGCTCTGCTTGTCTATTTTGCATTGCATAACCATTTGAAGGAAACCTTGACAAATGAGTGTTTTATACTTCAAGGATGGTGAACACATTTGGCGTGGATTTCGACAAGCGGATTGAAGGTTCCGGTGACCAGATCGACACAGTAGAGCTCTCCGGCGGTGCTCGTATCAACCGCATCTTCCACGAGAGATTTCCCTTCGAGCTTGTGAAGGTGCTGAAGACTGAATTCCTTTGTTATAGTGAATGTGCGACTAAGAGGTTGGGAGTTCGAATCCCGTTTGTTGTCACTCACCTGACATGCGCGGTACAGTAAAGGGTTGTAGTCCTTAGGACGGGATGTTAAGCCATGGTCCTCTGTTCATTGTGCTTGTCAAGAACAGCTAGGGGAATTTCCCTGGTGCAAAGAACCTGTAAACACTGTGCATAGCATCTGTCTTCCCTGTTACAACCAGTGGGGGATTAGCTCTTCAAGGAGCTAAGACTGGATCGAGATCACTATCCTTTATCTGAAATATATTGGCTTTAGGAATAGTGTTTCCCATTTTCTGTGAGATTTTGTCTAAATGCACCTTTGTTTCCCCCTTCAGATGGAGTTCGATGAGAAAGAGCTGAGAAGGGAGATCAGCTATGCTATTAAGAACATCCACGGTGTCAGGTAGGGTACACATATACACCATAGTTGTGCACTGAGTTATACATAGACACTCCATGCTTATTGAAAAGAGTAGGGGTTCTTCCCAGTGTGAGGTGTTCAAACCTTACAGTCTGGTCCCTGGGTTGACATCTTGGAAAGATGATAGTGATGAATTGGTGAATCTTAGTAAATAAATTAATGAAGAAATAGAATAGCTTCTATATTCTGACATAATGTTGTAATCTTTGCATTTGTTATTCCTTTTGATTCACTAACACAGAGTTTTGTTAAAATCCTACGTCCATAAATACATTTTATACACCAGAAATTTATTTTCCATAAGGCCCTATATGGAAGAAACAATCGGATTTGTAGAGCTGCAGATTTTTTAAGCCGCATTGCAAGCTGTGCTCACGATGTCCACCCCATGTTTTCAGAACGGGCCTGTTCACCCCTGACATGGCGTTTGAAGCCATCTGCAAGCGACAAATCGCCAAACTGAAGGAGCCGTCCCTGAAGTGTGTGGACATGGTCATCAACGAACTCAACAACGTCGTCAGACAGTGTGGAGAAAAGGTTGGATCATCTGATGATTTCATGACCTTTTTCCTTGCACCATTTTGTAGTCAACTTGGTAGACTTTTTCCAAAGTAATTATGATTGAATATTACGAAGGATGATGATCTAGAAGACGATTTTTTTTTTCAAATTTCAGATGGGCCGCTATCCCCATCTGCGAGAGGAAACTGAGCGCATTGTGACCACACATATACGAGAACGGGAACAAAGGGCCAAAGATCAGGTATGATGAACAAATTTTCTGTTTTCTTTATTAAACTAGCATAACAATCAAGTTATTTTGTATATTTGACTAACTTTGTCAGTTCTACACTGTATATTTGAATTTTAACTAACATTGTCAATATATACTGTACAGTATATATATAATTTAATTTATACCTCATTTTTGGTATAGGCAGAATGATTTTAAAAGATGACATTTTGTAAAATCACTTTCGTGATATTTAGCAATCAAGTATTTAATTGCAAATTACTATGCTTGGCTTAATTCAAAAGTGTGTCATTTACATGCATCTTCTTTTGAAGACTATTTAATTTCTTAGAAGCTGAAATTTTGTTCACCATCTATCTACCACCATCTTGTCTCCACTATTGATTGATTCAGTTGATTACCGATAGACAGTTAATTGCCTTTTTTCTCAGTTATGATTAATTTTACTCATTTGAAGTCAGAGGAAATTTTGTTTTCGCGATTCACAGACCAGGTTTCTCTTATTTTCATCACAGGTTATTGACTTAGTGGAGATAAATTTGGCATACATGAACACAAACCACGAGGATTTCATCGGTTTTGCAAAGTAAGATGATTAGTTACGATTGCTAGGTTCGCTCTGCTATCTTCCCTCTCCCACTCTCGATGCCGTTATTCCGCACACAGGTCGTGGTCTTCGTGGACGTGAATCTCGCGTACATCAACACCAACCACGAGGATTTTGTGGGGTTCGCCGAGTAAGAGGCTTGCCTTATCATGATTGCATTCTTATCGGTGGCACTGACTGGCATTATAGTCTTTTTTAGTTGGGCCTTCCCCCCTTTGGTTTTACTCTAAAATTGACCTGTGGAATTTATTCTCTTGTTAGAAATGAGAGAACAAATTTCGCAGGGTCAACTTTAGGGGCTAGAAACTTCATGCAAACTCGCCACAGCTGTGTCTGTATGTTTTTGCCAGCCAAATTTGGGGAGCATGTGTACACAGCACAGATGCAAAGCCTCTTGCATGGTGGAGGTTGTCCTTTCTTCATACTTTCTTCTTTTGTGACTCAATACTTCCAATGTGTGACTCGGCTTTTTGTCTTTCTTGTTGCAATTGTCTTTTTGATGTCATATGCATGCTGTTTTTAGTGTAGTATACATGTACAGTAGATTTCATCTTTTGTGTGGGTTTCTTGAGTGTTTTGTCAGCTTTGTTTTCATTCTGGGTGTTGCATGTCCATGTATTAACGGTAATATCTTGGTGTGCTGCATGTTGCAGGGCAGATCGGGACTGGTTTGGAAGGTACAGAGTCAGACATAGTCAGGCAGTATTCTTCCATCAAATTTGCATACCTGTTTTTGCAAGACTCCTGGGTTACAAATGACACAAAATGGCTGTTCTTTCAGGATCTTCAAGCAGATGTTTGGTTGTATCTTGTTTTTGCACCTCTTTTTTGAAGAATTGTGTTTTTTTAGGGGTGCAACAAACAATGAAAAAAGGGCATGAAAAAGGCATAGGAAAAAGGCATAGGAAACACCGTGAAAATGTCAATGAAAGTTCATCTGTGTCAGTAGTTACATGTTTAAAGGTAAAACTTTAAATTTGTTCCAACACAAATAGGTGAGAATATTTACTTTTTTTGTATTGGAACAAAGTTTGCCTTTAAACTGTAAAAGTGTGCATATAAAACAAGTCAGAGGGAAACATCTGCTTGGAAATTTGCTCCTTCCTTTTGGCAATCAGTCATTAAAAAAAGAAACAGCAGTCTTTTCCTTTGTAACCCAGAAGGTGCCACATAAACTACAAGGCTTATTCACTAACTAAATTGTTGGATCAGCAAGCTTATTAATGCTTTACAGTAGTGAAAACCATGATTAACATGAATTCGGTTCCCCCAGTACCTGACTGTGTTTTGTACTCATAGTTGCACATTTAACAGAGGTCATTGTTAACTTCAGTGTAGTGGAAAACAGGCAGTCATAATGCATTTTTTTTTGGATGAGAAAAATCATTGTCAAATGTCTAGCTTATCAGATTTCTGTGGTTTTAATGTCTTACAAATGACAGAAAAAGGGCCAATATGTATATGTATTGTGTGTTTTAACAAAACTGGCCAAAGTTGAATAGAATTTTTGCTCTACAACCTTTAAGGTCACTATAACGGGAGCCTGAAATACACATTCTTTTCATCCAAATTGTTGACAAATATATTAGTAATTTGTAAATATTAAAAGTGAAAAAATATATATACAATTCAACAAGTAGAGCTGTAATTATTCTAAAAAGTGTATCTTTGTACTTTCATTAAAAACTACCTATTAGTAAATGAAAATTGGCCTGCAGGCCAATTTGAGCTTCTCAAAAGAATGCAAACAAACAAAGAAACAAACAAAAATCATTGGCTAAGCAGTGATGTAGCAATGATTCCACATCATGATGTTATGACTGCCTACCATAACAGTAGAACTAAACATAGTAACACTGTGATGTCATACCCAATACTAGAGCCACAGCCCGGTCTGAGGGCAAGCGGTAAGTCCCCACACCACCAGTTTTGGGTGGGGATTCAGGTTCAAGGCTGGAGCAACTGGAAATCCATCCCTGCGCATCTGTCTTGTGTCAGCCAATCAACAGACTGCTCTTTGAGTTTGTGTGATTATACGGACAAAAACTGTCAGCTATTGATTGTAATTCTCTTGAAGTAGGTAACACAAAAGCATTGATTTGGCAATCCTTCATCCACATTCTTTGAAAGTAATCTGTAGGAAGTGTAGCTAACTCTGTTGAAGGCTTACACAGATGGATGCATCGTTCAGATTTTTTGTTTGAAAAAAATTGAAGTTACGTGCACGGTTTTGCAATTGTTGCATACCAGTAGTTTTACGATCGGTGTCCCCTCAAACTGTATCATCCCCCTAACAGCTGCTGCAATTTTGTTCACAAATATTAATGCCATATTTCATGTTACATTGTACTAACCACTTCTTATTTCAATGTGTCACATTGTTGCAAGTGCATGAATTGTTGTGAAGTATTTGTACTTGTTGGTTTCCTTTTATGTAGTTTTCTGCTAAGAAAAGTTGCATTATGCTTAAATTGTCTCTGTTCATTTTTAATTGCTAAATTGTGAGTAGTGTACCAGTCCTTATTTGATTTATAGATATATTTTCAATGTCATACCTGTGATTTGCCGCTTATTGTATTATGATATGATAGACTTTTGCATTCTTTATAGCTCAGTTTGCAACCTTTCTAGCAGACCTGCAAAGTTCATGATCTGATACAAGTTGATAATCATATGTTGAGTATTAGTGGCAGAACTTTGCAGGTCAGGTCACAGATTGGATTTTGCAGTCCCCCCTTTTTTTATTAGAGACTTGTAGAGCCAGATGAATTAAACACAGAAAGGTTGGCAGTGGTGAACTTTACTAACAACAGTAGGGAGCTTGGTGGAAAAACTCTGGTCCTTTGGTGTTTCTTAGATGGTTTCTTTATCTTATAGTGCATCTTCTAAAGGAGCAGGGCGCAGTGGGTAAGCACTACTAAATTTGGCCACTCAAAAGTTTTGTTTCTCACTTTTTTACTGGCCGAAAAAACCTTAACTTGGGTGATTGCTAACAAGTGTTCTGCCTCTGTTTATTCCACTTTTGGGTTGTTTTGAGATTATTTTTTCGAGTTCAATCTCACATGTTTGAAGCCACATAACACTGCTTACTGACCTATGCACTGGCTCTCAAGTCTCTCTTACAAATTTTCCATCTGTTTTCTTTGAGCCCGTTTTGTTTCCATATTATATTGGTGGCTGCTTTATGATATATATATTCAGTTCCTCTGCCATTTCCACTTCCAGTGCTCAGGCCACTGACAAATCCACCACCAAAAGGAATGCGAAGAACTTAGGCAACCAGGTGTGTTATTGTGAAAAACGTGTGTGTGGCACGTGTGACGGTAGATCTAGGGAATCTAGAGTAGGAATAATCCCGTTTGTCCACTTGCAGTGCACAACAAGCTAAGAGCGACAAGACAACAAGAAAGGCCAAGAGTGTGGGCAACCAGGTTTGAACAGTTCTGCAAACTTGGTGTCTGTGGTGTTGTCTTTTCGTCAGTTTTTTTTTTTTTTGGTGGAGGGAACCTGTTGCTCAACAAGCTGAAGACTCGGGAATAATTCCCAGCCCTGACACTCTTCCCTTTCGCCTACTTTTATTGGCATTTTGATCTTTTTTTCATTGATTGCCCAGTGTTTGCCCTCTTAAAAATCAGCCATTCTTCTAAATTAAATGAAGTTAGGAATTGCTTTTTACTTAATGAATGCTATCTGCACTTTTGCTCTGAATCAATGCACTCAATCATGTATGTGACTCTATTGATAAAAATTGATTTCTTCTGCAAAATCTGGTACATGATTTGCAGAAAAATTGTTTCAATCACATAATATATGCCGTATATAGGCTGTACTTGATATACACAGAATGGAATGTAATATACAGAATGAAATAATTGTACATTTAATGGTTGAAAATGCCACAACATTTAATTTGCCACTGGCAACCTTAGATTTGAATTATCATGCACAGATCTACTTAGACATGAATTTGGACTTGGGTCACCACCTGTAGGTCATGACCCCCAAACTATGACCAATGGCTCATGACCCCTGACCTGTGACCTGTAGGTTATTCGGAAGGGCTGGCTCACCATCCACAACATCAGCATCATGAAGGGTGGTTCTAAGGAGTACTGGTTCGTCCTGACTGCAGAGAGCCTTTCTTGGTTCAAGGATGAGGAGGTGGGTTTTTAAGAAATGTTTCACAGTTCTATTACCTTTAACTCGCACCAGTATCTTACATCTACTTAAAATGTCAGCTAAGTGTGATTGAATGTGTTGGGCATTGTCAATATGTGAATGGGAGCCTGATATGTATTAAGGATATGCTGTGCTCACTAATAAATTTGTAGAACTCAACATCATTTGCAGTGTAGAAGGTCTAGCAGATTTGTGTTTTCATTGTCATTACGAGCATTGGTAAAAGTGACTATCGTGATAATGGTCATTTTTCAAGAATGTGCATAAATATACATGTCTACTTTGATTCACAGTGAGTCAAGCATGTTTCTGACTTAAATTAAAGAGATTGAAGACATGCAGTTCTGGAAACTTAGTTTAGTACTTAGAAGCAGTGACTTGGCCTTGTACTGAGCATAGTCATTAACGAAGAGCAAGCATCTTTCCTTAATTTAAGACATCTTTCCTCCCAAACCCCAGGAGAAAGATAAGAAGTACATGCTGCCCCTGGACGGCCTGAGGGTCCGAGACGTGGAGCAGGGCTGGATGTCACGCAGACACATTTTCGCACTCTTCAACCAGGAGTCAAGGTAGGCAATGTACACTGTGCATCTCTGTTGTACATGGATACGTCAGTATAAGTGGCCCAACTGGCACCATTTGACATTGTGCAAGGACAGTCATGCTGTCAAAATCAATGGCAAACTAGTTATCTGTACACAATTGAAAATGATGTGGTCGTCATAGGTAGAGATCGGGCCATGTGCAGTCCCAAATAGTGACGGTCCCTTATTGCCCCCCGTGTATGGGGGAAAAATTAGGACCGAGAAAAAGCTGTTGCTATGGCCTCTCATGATCACATCTCTAGAGGTGGTCGCTTGGGCAAGTATGAGGTTTTTGTTTCAAATCAAAAGTTAGGACTACATGTACCCTTCGTATCCCTACACTGTGCGTTATGTATCTTCAAGTATATCAGACTGTATATTTTAAGTATGACAGTTGTTGCGTGGGTATCATACAAAGATGCTAAGTAAACTTTTTTTCCCCTAACCTTGTGTAGAAACGTATACAAGGACTACAAGCAGCTTGAGTTGTCAGCGGAGACGCTGGACGAGGTGGACAGTTGGAAGGCGTCGTTCCTGCGGGCGGGAGTGTACCCTGAACGCAACACGGACACCACCAGCGAGGAGTCCAGCGTAAGTCACGCACACAGTCCCAGTCTGGGATTTGATAGTTTACATTTAGTATTGGCTGAACTTTGTGTTTGAACACTGGAACGAAATTAAGTACTGCCTAAATTTTCAGTTGACTAAGCATAAAAGCTCAATATGAAGAAGTTTAGGTTGCCTTCTTCAGCCCTGCTTGCAGAATGGACCCACCTACATTGTACATGTACATGTACTTCTGGTATGCGACGTCATGGTCATACATTGTACATGTAGGTGTCATACCCGGCTGTCACAATTTCGTTTCAGTGTCGTTTCGTTTCGGAACAGAAAGTTCAGGCAGTATTTGGTAATGATGTTCATTGTTTTATTTTTTCCACTATTTGTCATGACCTCCTCTTACCTCTTGTCAATCCACCTGTGTGTATTATCAACCAAGGTTTTACTCTTATTTCTCCCTTAAAAAATCTCTTTCTCATTTTTACACCCTTGTCTGTGGCTTAAAATAATGCTTGTCTCAGGTTTTTCTTTCAGAATTGACAACTTGCCTTGGAAGTTGAAGCCTCTGTGTATTGTCTATTTATCACCCTTTTTACCTCTTCTTTCCCAATGATACTGTTCCTGCATTGCTTTGGGTAAGTCAGGCATGAGGAACAGCAGTCAATGTGCTGTTGTCTTTGCAAATGAGGACTTTTGATGGTGCTGATTTTTCAACTTTCATAGTATTAACGTACCCTGTAGGTATACATACATGTAACTATTTGAAACATTATTTTTCATGACTGTTGACAAAATATATTTTACTGTGTTGTAGCTGTACATGTACATGTATTCATGTTATTTGTTGAGGATGTTTGTTTCGGTGTTATTCTCATGTCCATGTTGTTTTGTTTCTCCATTTCATGGTGGCTGGATTGCCAATTGTAGGGCAATGTGAGTAGATGTGTGTCTTATGCTGTCATACACAATCTCTGATATTTTTGGAAAAACTACAGTCAAGTTTCTGAAAGACAGAATTGGAAAACTATAATAATTTATTTTAAAAAGCCATTAAGATCTGAAGGAATCAATCATTTTCCCAACCCCATAGAAATTCTTGCGCAGACATATTATAAGACGCGACTTCGACAGCTACAAAAGTACCTAAAACTAAAGATTCTGCTGAATTTGTCTTTTTTTTTGCTTAGAAGTATTATAAACTGTCCCTCCTCAACATACTAAGCTTGCTGACAGTCTGTCAAAAGCAGCACCATAATCTGCTCATTCAAAATTAACAGACCAGAAACATTGTACACAATTATCTAAGTATATGTATTAGACATCATATACAATATGAAGCTGCTGTTTTTTCCATCTCCATTATTCCATGATCACAGCCATCCCACATTCCACCTGCCAGCTTAGCATTAAAAAAAAAAAAAACCAGAGAACGATGTTGAAGAGACTGTATCACACCTGTGTTTCTCCACAGCCCCAGGGAGACCTTGGCTCCATGGATCCCCAGCTGGAACGTCAGGTAGAGACCATCCGTAACCTGGTGGATTCCTACATGGGCATCATCACCAAGACCATCCGCGACCTCGTGCCCAAAACCATCATGCACATGATCGTTAACGACACCAAGGAGTTCATCCAATCAGAGATGCTGGCCCACTTGTACTCTAGTGGTGACCAGGTGAGGGGTCAATCTCAGCCAGGCTTAGGCACTTTTCTCACTGGGATGAAATTGTCCGGATCGAGCCAAATGGATCGATGAACAGCTTCAATCCAGCTTCTAAGGCCCTTTTCCTACTAGAATAAAATTGTTCAGCTCGATTCAACCTGATGTAGATCATATGCTAAGCCAATCCAAACCAAGCCAAACCAAGCCAGATCAGGAGCATTCCCAAACACCTTGAGCGAGTGTAGGAATTCACATTACAATCCCCTCCACAGTTCCAATTATATTTTGAAAACTCACAAAAGAATTCCCAGAAGTCTAAAATCTCTGATTAATATGTGTTTACTTTGCTCTGTTTCTTCTTCCGTTCCAAACACAAAAAGGTCAATGACCAGAACCAGACGTCTGTCACCATGGTAACTGGTGTTGGGTTACATAATGTTGCAGTTTTATAGCAGGAGGGATTTAGACTCCTGTCACCATTTGTATGAATGTGTTTGAGTAAGAATTAACAGAGCAGACCATATGCGAAGCTTAACATTATGCATTCGCTTTGCTAATGTTACCTTTCTAGTTTCTTTTTTAATTTTTCGACTCTGTCCTTTCCCAGGCGTCCATGATGGAGGAGTCAGCGTCGGAGGCCCAGAGAAGGGAGGAGATGCTGCGCATGTACCACTCCCTGAAGGAGGCCCTGAAGATCATCGGGGACATCAACATGACCACCGTCTCCACACCCTGCCCGCCTCCCGTCGACAGTGACTCCTGGCTCCCTCCACCCAGCCCATCACAGAACAGGTAACAACACTGCTGCACACTCCACATTTTCACTCACTGTATATACTGGATCTTCTGTGCCATTGAGTTTGATATTGCCTGGTTGTCTAGTTGGTTTGCTACTTGCTTGGCCAAAGTTTTTTGCAGGTGACATGTGATAGTCCTGTATCACTTCTAATTAACAACCTTTACTTACATCCCTGTTTAGAAGTAACACAACATCATACAAGTTTTACAACACTTTCTGCTGTTTCTTTCCTCTTTTTTTTATTGTAACTTTCCCATTTGCCAGTGCTAGGCATAGTATTACAATTACTACTAAACTACAGGTAGTTTTCAGTATTATCTGCCTTGATACACTTCTTCCATTTAACCATCAGATGATAAAGTTGTCAGTTCAAATGTTGCCATCCTCCCTCATTGTCTTCAAATGCAATATTAAGTGTAGGTCTGTGTACAGTACATGTAGGTCAATTTTAGAAAAACTTGTGCAAAAGATTCAGCTTAACTTTCAAACTTTCAAACCAAAAAAAAAGATACAACTGTAAACCAAACCTGTGTACCTCCCAGTGCTGATGTTGTTAACCATGCTCCGTGTGTTCTGCTTGATAAACTGTTGTGTGTTTCCGCTTCCTCTGCCCTTTCCAGAGGACTGCAACCTCCTCCAAGTCCAACCAGGTAAACCCTCCCACCGTGTCGTGCAATGTCTTCTCTTCCCTCTAAATTTTTTTCTCCCAATCCAATTGTGTACCTTTTTAGTTCTTGCTCAAGCTGGAAGTGTTAACTATTTAATATTGACTTCCTTGAATGTCTTAGTGTATGCAGGAGTTGATACAGTAACTGTTATTTTTATCACCCTGAATGCATATGTTGCTGCTAAAAGTTGTAGCTCAAAATTAGTTGCTGTAAGATTTTCTTCTTTGCTTTTTGAATAATAATGCATCAAGCAACCAGCCTAGTATTCCAGGTGCATAATTTGTTTTAACTCACTCCCGTCTGTGTTGAATGAAATAAATGAAGACCAGATCCTTAAATATACAATGTATGTAGTAGTACCTTAAAAAATAATTTTCACACCTGGTAGTTCGTACTCATTACAAGTAGGGAACCCCAGTAGTGTAAATTCCATCAATTACTGTAACTAGGAAACACAGTCAACAAAGTGCTTCTTGCTATCCCCACCTCTATGTCATTGCATGTGCATGTGTTGTAATGCATGAGCTCCAATGCTCCAACATTGTTGCTGTGCCTTCTCTCTTGCCACGCCGTTCACGCAGGAACTTGCCTCCACCGCTGAGTCCTACCAGGTAACCCCTAACATAACAGTACAGATGCTATAGCCCTAGCTATAGCTGTACTGATGGTACAAATGTAGCCTTAGCTGTACTGATGGTAGCCATAACATTAACAGAACTGATGGTAGCAGTAGCAGTACTGATGGTACATGTACAAAATGTAGCCATAACAGAACTGATGGTAGCTGAAGGAGTACTGATACAGTACTGATGGTACAATGTATCCATAATTGCAATACTGATGGTAGCCATAGCCATATAGCACGTGTATGTATACGTAGCTACATACACGTACAAGGCTGAAACGCGGACACAGACACATTACATAGTGTGAAACAAGCTACTGGTTGATAGAAGAGAGAGGAGAGAAGCTGTATTCCTCAAGTGTTCCCCTTTGATGTTGTGCTGTCATCTCTAACTGCAGCTACATGTATTTCGCAATATGCACACTGCCTGTATGTCTGGTTCTATACTTTGTCCAGTCTGCTTTTTGCAAAGCCCTTTTCTTACTCACCTCTCTGATGTATAAAATGTCTTCCAACTGTCATTTTTACAGGCTTAACATGTAGTATGCTTTTACATGTACATGTAGACTTAAATTTCCTGACATGTACTTGTATGTGTGACTCCATTACAAGTAGCATTCATTAGATTGTAGTTACCATTGTGTAGTTAAATGTAACAAATGTGTGATTGTTTTTTTGATAGAGTAGACAAGCTTGTTTTGATATTAGGCCGGCTTTGGTTTGATAGAGTAACAAGCTTTCCATATTCTATCTTCTTTTCTTTTCTTTTCTTTTTCATGTAATACATTGTAGATGTTATGGAGAGTGTCCAAAGGTTGCTGTATTTTGTTACATTAATCTTCTGAAAATGATCTAAGGGACGGTCATTGTGTACAGGTTGTCGTCACTTGTACAGGTTTGACTGTAACACTGTAATTCACTTAATGTTCATGGTAGCAAAAGTTCTTGGTCTGAGAAAAATAAAAATGTTTGCAGAACTATATGTTCGTGGTAGCAGCAGGTGCAAAAAAAAAAGAAAAAAAGAAAGTTGGCGAATTATTTGTTCACGGTACATGTAATTCACGGCACAGAAGTGACTATGGAGTAAGTTCGCGCTTTAGAAGTGACTGCAAAAAATTGCGAAAAAATCAGGAATTACTGTACTGAGGTACACTCTCCATACCAAGTAGAGAGTTTTGATGTTGTAACTCATTCCTCCTCCTTCCCTGTCCGCTCCTCCTGCCCCCCTCCCACTATGCACACAGGCAGCTGGCTCCCCCAACTAGCCCCACTAGTGGCAGGTTAGTCTGTTAACATGACAACCAGACAGCTTTCTCATTGTCTTTGACTTTACCTTGCCTGGCATGACTTATCACAACTAGGGGCTGTTCTATGTCATAAAGTTTTGGGGTTCTTGAAAAAAATTAAAAGATTCAGTGACAATTTTAAGAGAAAAATGTTGGAGAAGAGGAGAATTTGTATATACAGATGGAGAGAGTCAAAGCAGAGCAGGGGTTCATGAAAATAATTCTAATAGTTTTTGGATGATTCCCCAAAACCTTATGTAAAGTAACAGCCCCAAGGCTTGCATTAGCATGAACTATGATGCAGAATAAGCCAAATGGAAATATCTTTGTTGCATCATGGTACTATGAGATCATCCTTCTACCACATGGGTTCAACTGCTTGACAAGACAAGCAAAAGTGCACCTGTACTGTATAGCTCAGAACATATATTTTAGTATATTGTTTTGGAAAGACTACCTGTACATGTAGGTTGCCAAGTCTTGTTACCATTTGTGGCTCCCAGGGTTGCAACCAACATAGAGAGTATTTCAACATTATCCGTGGATGTGGCACACGAATTGTCCCTGATAGTGATAATACCAACTGTATCAGACTGTGATATGAAGAAGCATGAATAGTGCATTTGTTGATAACTCATACTTCTGTAAAGTAGTTGTAAAATGTAACGGTTATATCTTTGTGTAAAGTTTTGACACCTGCCAATCATTGTTCTCGGCCTGTCCCCAGGGTGTCTCCAGGTGGTAGCCCCTCGCTGAACCGACGTCCGAGCCAGCGGACCGGCGGGGTGGCTCGTCCGGCGCCCGTCCCTCCCGGACCAGGGGGTCCCGCCCCTCCCCCTCCTAGGTAAGTGGTGAAAGGCACCTCGTATACTACTTCCTGATGATCTGGGTCTCTATCAAGGTGCAATACTTTACAAGTGGAATGTCAATCTCTTTTGTGTCTGGTTTCCTCAATACTGAGGATATGTGGAAGTTAGAAAATTTTTTTAATTTCTGAGTGACAATGGTGTCATGTGAGGGAAAGAGTATGCCTATCTTACAGATTTCTGTGATATGACTTGAATTCAACAATTTACATCTTTCAAACAAAAGAATGAAAATATTGTGTAAGAAGGTTTTGTTTCGTGGTACAGAATTGGTCACATGGTATTTCTATCATGGTAACGTAAGATGGAGAAAGCAGCAGATAAAAAGTTGAGGAGCTTGTGTGTAACTTAAAATTCTCAGACTGGAAGTGCATAAAGTCTTTGTCCTGTGGTCTTCATAGCTTTGTACACGTACATGTTAAAGCACAAAATGCTGCAACTAAACTTAGAACACAGGAACCAGGAAAAGGAAAGTTGTAACACACACACACACACGTGCACTGGTGCACAAAGACTGTTGAAGTTGTAGTGCTTTGTATGTTTGCTTTTTATGGTTCATTTGTTGCATTTTTCTTTTGTTTTGTATCATTTTGCCTTTCTTCGCTTTTCTCTCTACACAACTGGAGGTCCAAGTCAGCATCCCCTCCCCTCTAACCCTAGAAGTCCCCTGTTCCTTTCCAATGGCAAAAAAATGCTGCAGATCGTTGAAAGAGCCTGTGCCACTATTGCTTTCCAACATGCTTATGCATCCCATGTCAATCCCTCTCCAGTCACTTACCCTCCTGCCCTTGGCTGGATACAGCTTACAAGTACCAAGAGCCAAAGCCACACTGCATGATAGGACAAACAGAAAAGCAGACACAGCTTGCACGGTTTTGATTGGCTGGTCTGTCCTGAAAGCTACACTTTCATTGGACAAGCGCAAAAACAGACACAGCTTGCACAGTTTTGATTGGCCATCTGTCCTGAAAGCTACATACACTTTCATTGGATAGCACGAAACCAGACACATCTTGCATGGTTTTGATTGGCTGTCTGTACTGAAAGCTACACTTTCATTGGACAAGCACGAAAACAGACACAGCTTGCACCTTTTTGATTGGCTGCCTGTCCTGTCTACTCCTCATCATCATCATCTCCATGCACAACTCATTCATTCCCCTTCAAGTCTCCCCCAAAGAGAAAAAAAGAATATTTTTGTTTCATGAGTGCATGCTGTACTTTTGATTGACATTCCCAGGCCAAATAGTATGATGCAGCGTCCCGACCTTCCGTCGCGGCCCGCACCCGCCTTCGCACCACCCGAGATCCCCGCACGTCCGGGGCAGAACGCAGCACCTGCTATCCCAAGGTATAGTCCGCGTCCTTTTTTTTCAGTTCCCTTTCTTTTGTATGATTTCTTTTTACCAGGGTATTTGTTTACATCGGACATCATTTCGGGGTATCAGTTTTGCTTTTTCAGCACACTTAACTGGAACGGCAGAGCCAGTGCTAAGTCACTGAGGATAAGACATCAAGGAAACAATAGGAATTTCCTTGGGTGCAAAGTCCTTGAGCCAGTCTCTAAGCCTCATCCTGTGAGGACACCTTGCAGTTTTGACCCGAAGTGCAGCTCTCACTTGATGGTGGAACCAATGCGGCTGCACTGAATGCACTGAAAATAGTTTTGTCATTGCAGTGATGTTGTGCGCCAAACAGCTACAATGCAAAGCCAGTTATCTATTGAACGACATGATAGGTGACTTTTGCTGTGCCTTTGTGACCTAAGAATGTGTGTTGTATACTCTTACACATCTCCTCACAGAGAAGGTTTGCTGCAGTATTAACTTGTTTATTCTATAGCTGTCTTTCATGTTTATTCATGGTGCCTGTCCTTTTTATTTCCAGGCGTCCCGACGCCCCACCAAGGCCACCACCTGGCCGTCCTGCCGTCCCCGCTCGGCCCTAAGTCCTGAAAAGGGGACCCTTCTTGTAGTTAGGAGAGAGACAAAAAAAGCAGAACCAGTGGAATCACATTGATATTGGTGATGTGACAGTCCTGTCTGTACCCGTAATACTATCCCATACAAAAAACTGTAGAGTCCTGACAGAGTATTTTAGATTTAGATACCTATAGGTTAGTCTGACCACCGTGAGTCGTCTACATAAAAGCAGCAAAGAGAATATCTACATGTATATGGTGTTAGGACCCCAGGAGACCTTCTTGTAGCTTTCTGGTCACTCTTTGTCACACGGTTCATTGGATACAGTGAAGTTGCATCAACCATTACCAAGCCCAAACTGTTGAGAAAAGCCCAAGAGATGCAAAAACTCTGTGCTGTCTGTCATTATGTACAGGAGTAACATTCGCACATGAAGACAGAGAAACGGATACCTGTGCATGTACATGTACAATTAATGTTGATGTTAATTATTTTGAAAGAGTTTCTGGCATTTAAATTTGTCCTGTCTAGTTTCCTTTTTTGAAAGCAAAAAGTCCTCTGCTTTTCCAGTGATAATTCAGGTTTGAAAATGAATGATGTTGATTTATGATACTATCCACATATTATAGAGCATAGTGATTTTCAATAGATGGTAAAACTGGATGTATTTACCTGTTTTGAAACATTTTCCATACAAAAGAATGATGGCTAATTCTGTATCAAGTGTCATTCAAGAGGGTAACATTAAGGCAGCTGATGGTTCAATATGCATATTGCCAGTTTCTTTACTAGACAGTTTGTTGTAGGAATGGCTTTCTCACAGAAAAAGATGTGTGAAAAAAAAAGACAGACCGCTCTACATCAGAGTGAAATCTGGAAAGATACCTACACTCTTGTAACAGAATCATTCAAATTTTAAGTGATGCCTATTTGACAAAGACAACGTTTCTTAGTCACAACCTTGAAGAAATGAAAGGAACAGCTTGAAGATCTGTCCAAAAACAGTTACTCAAACAACTAGGTATGATTTTGGAAATGGTCAGACGTTTCAGCTAGCATCCACTACATTTCGTCAGTGACACTGAAGAGATTTCAAAATCAGCAGGTTTATAAACGCAAACTTTTGATTGATATGCAAATGAAGCTTAAAGATCATTTATGTCTTGCAATGAAGGGCTTATACAACTGTAGTACAGTCATGATTTGGGAACACACTAAACACAAAGTGGCCAGAAAGTTAGGGGACAGTCTCAGAGTATCCTCATTAAGCATGAGACCCATAAATTAATAATATGTAAACGTGACTTGATGTACTCGAAAGATCAAGAAAATGTTATCAAAGATTTTCCTAGCGACAAGAACCTTGTGCTGTAGCAAGGTTAGGCAGAATGTGCTGAGAGTTTCCTCATCCTGTACTTATTATCATTGTTCCAGTTATTATTCCAATGAATTATTGATTTAACAGGTTTAAGAGTTTCAACCAGCATAACTGTATTTGATTATGATAATTCCTATAATATGTAAATATGACATTGCTGATGAAAGTTGCTGTTACATTCTGAATTAGACATTTCTGGAAAATTCCTGATTTTCATCACCAGCGAATTATTTTATATTAAGAAGTGATCCTACATTTGAAAGTTTTTAATTGCTTTGCTACAGTTGATCTCAGTGACAGGGATTGCAAGCTGTTGCATGTACAATGTAGGTATCTGTATGTAAATTGTACCAGCAGAGATGTGTAATGTGTCCTCTTAGTGAAGGGGTATTGTGTAGATGCAGAGACATGAATAAAGAGTCCTGACACACATGGGATGGAAGCTTGTTGGCTGTGGTCTCTTATCCAGTTTCCTTGCTTAATGTTTTCCATCCTTCTGGATCATTAAAAAACTCATCTTTTAGAATCTTATATACCCCCTGTGTCTTGTCTTGGAGGCCAAGACACTTAGACACAGTTTGAGAAAACCTACGCCAGCATATTTTGGGAAAAATTCACACCTGTCTAAATACACTAGTAGATACCTGCGTTATCACTGCATGTTATGTCCTAAAATAATTTTACAACCTACTGGTATCCAACAGATGCTCAGCATCATTTGTGCTGAGGATTCAGTCACTCTAATTCATCTGTCAACTCTGATAGCCCCCAGTGATCACTCACTACATTATCTATAATATAATTGGGGCTATATTTGCCTCTGGTATGCTCTACATGAATTTAGTCCACGCTGGGTCTGTGTAAAGTTTATGATGATTGTGACTCGATGAGTTGGTCAACTAACTGATGAAGACGGCTGACAATTTGGTATGTCTTATGAAAGCCAAAAGGTTAGTTTAACAAACCAACTGTACTAAAATCCCTCATGGTCAATTCTCATCCATATGTCATCATTCCTGAGAATTTATGACTAGTTAGAGAAAACCTACAGCAACTTATTTTTGGTAGAGCTTCACATCAATGCACTTGTAATATTTACTGCATGTCATGTCCTGAAATAACCATACAATCATTTGAGCTGATAATTTAGTCACACTAACTCATCTGTCAACTCTGATAGTACCCAATGATCACTCTCTACATTACTTGTAATGTAATTGGAGCTGTACCTCTATATGAAATTGGTCCATTCTGGGTATGTGTACAGTTACATGTATAACTTATATGATATCGTTAATAGCTGAAGATGGCTGAAAATTTGGTGACAACGTAACAGTTGACATGTCAGAGCCAATGATCCCTTCACAGGCTTCACTTGGATCCCAATACACATTGTAATTTACTGTTAAATGGTTAACCAAGAATTACAGAAATATCCAGTGAAAGATCCACAAACGAAATCTGTAAAAGAGACTATACATTCAAGTACACATTTACTAGAAAAAGGAGTAGACCATTTCTGTGGATGGTGCAAATATTTATTGAAAATTCCAACAGGTGATACTGGGGGTAGATTTGACTAACATGGTGTATAAGGGCTTCATATATTCTTACCTACATGTACCAGTATGTGTACTGGGTGTAGTTATGTGGCTGGCCCTGTGAGAATCTCTGTATTGGATTCTTCCGTGATACAGTTTCATGCAATTCCCTTTACAAGTTTGATACAGCATACTCTTCAAATTAACCTCCCATCATTGCCTTTATACCTCATCACTAACAGGCTGTGGGACTACCTTTACCTTTTTTATTACCTGAACAGCTTATGCCTTAGAATAGGTAAATATCTAAAGATATAGGTAGGCAGAACTAGAAGTGGTACAGTGCTTAAGTGCCATCCAATGTCACCAACAATGCCAGTCAAGAGCATTTAGTTTTGAGTTCAACATAGCAATTTAAGTTCACATGGAGGGGCATCCAGAAAGATCATTACTGATACTGGTTCTACTCTTTCCATACAGGTTATTTGTCAGAATAGAAATGGTTGGGAAAATTACGAAATATTGGCTCACTTACAGATGTACAGCCAGGTAGATAGCAAAATTTAAGGAGAATCACTTCCAAACTCACAGTTGAAAGAGTACTGTAAATTAACGACTGGTACAATGGGATTAGTCTTTACGTACACTGTAGTAGAAGTTGGCCAAATAGACTGAATAATGATCCAGGGGAGTTAGCTCACTCAGACCATAGCTTACATTGAAACCTGTGAGGCTACAATTGGGGCTTTTTTTGCACATACACAAATTTGCTCTCTCTGGTGCTAAGCATACATGTATGTATGTATGTATGTTCCTTGGGCAATGATATCCTTAGAATCACATCTGCATTTCTTGGTTTGGTTGGGCATCTTAAGCAGACTAATCAATCACAACATATTACTGAGCTCACACCACTGATACATGTACGTGTAGTTTGAATTTCCCATCCGTGAAATGTATAGACCGAAACAAAGAATAAGCATGCATTATATAGATTCACTCTTATAGCCAATATACATGTACAGATGTGTATACATAGTGCACTATTGAGTCTCATGTGTTACAAGTAGGAGGGATACTGCCTATATATAGCTACATGTATGTACAGCAATGGCTGAACACAAGGGCCATAGACTGGAGTGCAACAGCCAACAACATATCAGATACTTGTACTGGTTTTTCTAAGCACACTTTAAACATGCAAAGTGTTAAGGGATTTGGTGGGAGGCATTTGCAAGGCATAGTTTCTTAACCCTTACAAATATGCAAATTGAATATTTTAATATCATTATATATGAGTCAGGCATATGGGGAAAGATTGCTACATTTGCATGGGATAGTTTCTTGATTTTGATATACAATTATGTCAATATGAAAAAAAAATCTTCATCTTTTCATGGTTTAGAAGCAAACCAAATGCCCTTAATAATAAAGGGGATAGGCCATCAGTATGTTACAATGAACTGTTCAGTATAGTGCAACACTTCATGCTAGTTATAGTGAATACATGAATCTTCTCTAAAACAAGACTGTAAAATTGGTGAATAACGTGTAAGATGCTCGGCTGTAGATGTGGAGAGTTACGCACACCCCAGCGCTCGCACACCGTGGAATCAGGTGGAGGTGGAGGCGGACTTTTTGTCCTTCTTCAGCTTGAAGTTCTTGTACTGGGTCTGGATGGCCAGGGCTGCCTTTTCCGTTTCCGGGTCATCCAGGTCAATGTCGATCTCCTCCTCCTGGTTGGGCCTCTCCTCCACGCTCTTGGACTTCCGGGCCATTGCTGTGGTGACAGAACAATCGAAAGACGTCATTTCCGGCCAGACAGAGACAAACCATTCCATAGGTTAGCATTATTTGTCAATCACAGAAATGTTCTCTGTTTCGAAATTTTGTTCATAGGATTAAGGGTCGTCAGTTCTTCCAACATTGTAATTAGAAAACCCACTCAAATACATCCCAGTACACGTACAGCCAATTAATACACGTAGACACATAGGCGTCTATGGTAACTCAATACATTTGTATATATTCATACTTGTCTGTTCAAGAACCGATGACAGTCATTAATTATACACCTACAAAATTAATGCAGATATACGTTCCGGGATTTTTAATGGCAGAAATGTGACCTTTGCTGCGAAGCCAGGGTATTTTCGGAAGACTTTGGTTCATACACGGAGGTAATGCCTTAAAGGCTTGAGGATCACATTTTAGTGGAAGAAGACGTCAAGTGGAGTTTGTGATAAGGCGAGATCAAAGATGCAGGCTTACAGTTCCCCGTGCTCACGGCCGTACACTCATCCTCCCCGCTGACAAATCACTGTCAGGGAGACGATTTTACAAGCAGCGCCCGCAGCAGTCTGCTTACAGGCTTATTGGCTTAGTCAAGTTGGGGAGTTCGCAAGTTATTTTACAGCTCTCATTAGGTCCAGAAATAGCCCGTTATAGTGATACATAACAAGCCTTCACATACGGTTACATGCAAACTACCTGAAACGTTCTTTGATATGATTGAACGTCCTTGTTTGAATTGAACACTGAATACGATATGCCCGTTTCCTGGATTTCATGTTTACTGGCTCTTTTGGCCTTGTAATGTTTACTGCTTCCCTTGGGCTTGAAATCAAGTCAAGTTGCGTAGTTCACAAGTTATTTTTCAGCTCTCATTAGGTCCAGAAATAGCCCGTGAAGGTATCTGTGAACGCGTATTTTACTGATGCCTGCCAAATGGATATCTACCACTAACAAGGTTGCACATAGGTTTACATGCAAACTATATGCAACGTTCTTTGAATTGAACACTGAGTACGACATGCTCGTTTCCTGGATTTCATGTTTACTGCTTCCTTTGGCCTTGTGTACCCATTTTACCAGGTCAGGTCATGATGAGTATTATGGTGTCTCCCTCAAGCTTCCAAGGCTTATCGAAAGTAACTTTTACAAGGTTGTAAAATGCCTATAATGACAAATAAGCCCAGGAAGCCTCCGGCAAGACAGCAGTGTCATGCATGTACGAGACTTAAGAGGCAGAATGTATTGTACATTGAATTTCATGCTTTCTTGTCAACCACATTGAAATAGTAGCATGTTGTATTAGAAACTTGCACTATAAGGAGAATATGTTGACAGCACCTCATATGTAAATGTGGAAGCCACTTTCATAAACGTAGAAACCATGGTAGTTTACAGTATCAGGGGATGTGGAATATTACAATGGCAGTGGTGGATAGGGAACGGGTTTTAGTTGAGGTAGAGTTAGGACATGTACGGGGATGGGCTACCGTAATTGTGTTCTGTACCGGAATCGTTCAGACGGAGTTCCACAGTGGAGTCGGCGGCGTCGTCAGGACAGCTCCGCGCGTCCACGCTCATGGACTTGTTAAACATGGCTGGAGGTAAAACAGCACACAAAGATAGACCCACCGCCCAAGGAACAAGCCTTGGGATAGAGGTCCACTCAGACTCCAAGGCTCATAATACATTCTGTAGCTTCGACTGCTAACCCTCACTTAAAAACCTCACATAACCAATCGTGGACATCAGTAAATATCACGGAAAATACTCAACATCTTTAAAATTATTGACCACTTCATTTGAAGATGTGGGAATTCCATGGTATCTAGAGCTCTACAGTGATACACACAACATTTACTCTGACGCAGTGACATATGAGACACAAGAGACAAAGACAAGTTGAGTATATTCAAACGTTGCATCATTACACAGTGCTATCTTCTACTACAGTAGGAAGATAGATTGTTACCACAATCAAGTGGAACGAGCTAAACACAAATGAGTACACACACAGCAGCACAATTTCCCATGATACAAGAAGATTTACATCCGATAACTATCATATCCATGGGGAGAACTAAATGAAACTGGACCCCTATGGTAGATGTACCAGCTGGCGCAGGCAATACGACTTTGACATTGTTACTAATGACAGGGAACAGTGACATTGGACAAGGTTACAGCTAGTACTACAGACCTCTAGGGGCACAATCAGTTAACATTTAACACAGCGAAGAGACATCAGATACGTTTATATGGATGAACAAGACAGTGGGATGGGCCACATAGTATCTGGATACGGCTAACAAACACTAAGAGAACGGTAATGTAGACGCATGTTGCAATGATAGATCAGTGGTATTCCAGCTAAGGCCTGTCCATGGTGCTGATATCTGAGTTACTCTGCCTGCTCGTTTTTCAAAACGTAGGAGGACAATCAATCTATCAAACGAGCTTGTATTCATGTCTGTACTGACGATCACAGCTCAAACTGTTAGGGCCATAGACAGTAAATGGTATACCACACGTATTACCCCGTTAATTCGAACAGAGCACAGCTTATAGGTGGCACAACTCATAGGTGGTAATAGGTTAGATGAGTCGAAACGGCGCGAAATGTCAGCTAACGGAGGGGAGGTATTGTCGAGTGCAAATGGCGCGTGGAAGACCTTTAAAACTCAGGCATCCCCCTGTGAAACGCAGATAAAGCATTAGCGGGAGCAGGTGCCGCTGTGTGTTCTCCCGAATTCTCAGAAATTATATCGATCGTGATGTTGTAGGGCAGAGAGTAAGGCAAGGCCACGCTAATTTAATTTGTTGGTTCTCGGATTCGCCTCTTCATTTTTTTTCTGATTTGCAAAAAAAAACACAAGATTTTGGGTCCTGAATCAACTCCAAAATGCTTGATATATTTTGGTCCTATCGGCTGAAGTGGTTTCGTTAAAAGTTCAAAATCCATTGTATGTGTTATAACCCAGCCTGTGTATGTTGACTTTATGGCTCCATTGTAACTTTTCGGGCTATCTTGGGGTGCCCTAGTCTTTTTTCGTTTTCTTTTTTTTTTCATTTAGCCCTGTCGCTTCATATTATTTCTGACAAAAATCCGAGAACCAACAAATTAAATTGGTGTGGCCTAAAGGGCAATGTTTCCAGCAATTCTATTCGCCCACCTGAACTACTGTACCGTAGTCCGTCTTTCTGCCTCGGCGTTTGTCTAGCGTTTTATTGCTTGTCACTGCCGATATTAAAGAACTACACAGAAAGCATGATGAAAGTCTCTGGGAAAGGGCGCTTATTTTCCAGCCGTCAGTCACAACCCACCCAATTGTTTCCCTCTCATATATCAAAGCAAGCTGCACCCATACATCATTTGTAGGACGTTGACATTTAGAAGAATGACATTGTATGATATTGTATCCAATTGAGAAGGATATTGTATCCAATTTTTTTCTGGATTGTTCTGACGTCTTCGCATGGTGATTCATTGGGCTGTACAGCACTCTCAACCGAAGAACGACGCACTGTATCGTTTGATGCTTTGTTTATTCATGAGAAGTTCAAAACGGCCTGTGGACGGCTTTTTATTGAGGTTATGAGGGAAGAGGTACATGTAAGGTTCAGACAAAATGTATAGCAAAGACAAAGTTAACATCAGTTAAAGCCCTAAACCTGTGCACATATTTCACACATACATAAATCAGAATTAGAGCTGGTATTTGGTTCGTGTCTGTTCGTTTGGTCATTCCTGTTGCTAGTAACATACGTGTGTTCTTTTGTATTCTTAGATCTTCACCGTAACAAATGCAGCGGTGTGCCGAAGGTATTTAGCCTGGTTACCGAAGCTATTATAGCTCCCGAGTCCTACATCTTCTCCGCAAAGAGAAAGTAGGACTCGGGAGCTATAATAGGTTTGGTAACCAGGCTAGAAAGTATTATTGTTGAATTATCTTTTTTCTTGTTGTGTACGGTAACCAGTGGAGGGCTTGTACATCACCGTGCGTTCGTCATTGAATCATGCCCAGCTAATGGAGACGCACACCTGCGTTAGCTCGTCGCCTGTCTGATTGATGTGTCGGTATTCAGCCAAAGCCGTGCTTTACAAACCGCGGGTCGCTCCAACATTTATCTCCTGCGCGCTGACGGTGTGATATACTCCGCTACAGACGGGTCCTTTATCCCTGCCAGCACAGGGAAATTACTTCACCGGGATGGATGTGAATGCACGGTTGTCAGTGAAAGGCTGTCTTTACTGTCGCGGCATTTGGGAACTTTTTAAATCGACACGTCTATTGTTATGAAAAAGCAATCTTTCAAATTGGATTACGTAAGAGACTGGACGTAGGTTATGTAATGTGGGTCATATTTAGAAAATATCGGTGAATGGGTGATAGTAGATGAAAAATATCCAGAGAAGCAAACTAAAATAGCCTGGAGTCCAGCCTTGTTCCCCAACATCCGCTACCCGCCAACGGATCTTGGGGAGTGGACCAAAGCTAACAAGGCAGGACTCCAGGCTGAACTAGAATGCTTTGGCCAATTCCTTTTTACTACGTCTCTTGTTTGTCTGAAATCGCTATCGCTATTATCAGTACAAGGTATGCCGGACTTAGGATGACTACACAGAGTATGAAGTAGTGTCGTAATGATCACACCATACAAAACACCCTCGCCCGACTTCTCTACCAAATTCTTTCACTCTGTGCATGCCACCGTTCTGCCTACAGTGCCCGTTAGGTTGTCGAGCTGTACTGAAAGATAATGTTGCGGCTGATGCTCGAACATGCATTTTTGAAGACTGCTCGTCAAAATCCTTCCCAGCGTTGAGATAACCCTTGTATTGACTCTTGTGGTGGGAGACTATCGGGACCAGCGTCTCTCTGACTCATACCGCTATGCATGTCTTGAGTTAGATCAACTCATCATTTGTTCATGTGTAAAGATACCAAGAATATTCCAAAGCACCAGGTTGACGTATAAAAGTTTCTCAGCATGCCTGATACAGAGCATGTCCTTCACAGAAAAAAGTCCGACGTGAGAGTGGTAAGAAGAGGGTACATGATCTCTCATCAAAGCCGTCCTGCCGAGATACCCGTAGATCCGTGCCGGTTTTTATGTTCCTCCCGTCCCTTTATCGTCCTGACACACGCGTGGGTCCGACATGAGATTATCGTTACTCCGGCTGAGGTAAAACAACCACCTGTAGATACTGTACGTGGGTAGAATATGTCACTATTGTTGGTTGCGGCAGATGCATAAGTTCAAGAAGAGATGTTCCTCATTGATTTGCACCTTAAAGGACAAGTAACGTAAAGACCCATGGCGTCACCACAGCCTCCTGGTGGAATAGACAGGCCTCAAACGTGAACATGGATTTGGGTCAAATATCACCCCTATGTGTGCGGGACTGGTAGAAACCAATGAATCACCTTTCGCAAATAGGATTTTGATGGTTGAAAGGCACCAAAACCGAAATAAACGCATTCGCCTCTTCCCTAATCGTCAGACTAGACATGATGTAGACTGTATTACAAGCTAACGATTGCTAGTATGACTGAAATATTTCTCAGACTTTATAGCCGAAAAGAAAATAATGAGGTTTGCCATCGTGGTCGTAAAGTCATTTAAGTACAAAACCTTTACTGTATGTAGGCAGCTTTTGCCTTTGGGAGGATATTCAAAGAAGCATATTCATCCACCGTGAACTAGAGTCGTAAAGAGTACCACATTCTTGCAATACAAATCTTTATGGATATATCCATAGCCACCGTGGCTACAACGACGCACTTCGTGGAGATCTTATATAGATAGGACGTCGATGTTACCGGTCCTGTGTATTTGAGGCCCAAGATAGATCACTCAGGCAGAGAAAGTTTGGCAGACCAAAGCCGCCGCGCGGCGAGGTGAAGTACGCCCGGTGTGCCGACTGTTGTAACGTTTGACCCGGCAGGTCACGTCTGCTGACCCCGCAGCGATGAAGCCAGGAGAAATCATCTCCCAGGGCGCCATTAGGACGACTGTTGGGTACATTCACGTCGATTTCGCCATAAAACAAGTCCGGTGCGTCTGTTATGGCCGTGACACAGTTGTAGCGGATCTTGTTTCACTTTGCACAGATATCCTTTCATCTTCGTGCAATTTATCTAGTTGCCTTCTGAGGCCGTATCCATCAAGCCCTCAAGGAAATCAAGTCTACGAATATTCACATTGTGATGGCTAGAAATATTTCCTGACCCTGTGTCTAAAGTTCTAAACCTAACGGGTAGACTCTTAGATCGCAAGAGGGCAGTAGTTTGAGATTAGTGGTTAAGTCATGAGAGTGCATTTGTATCTTTCAGTTACACCTGCACCCCACAGCAATTTAATTCAAACTTGATTACAACTTGATTGCACAAGGGCAGGCTCTACGGTCTATAGTTCGGAGTCAAACCAGCCCGGGTTACTGATTTCCCCATCAATCAGCCGTTTGGCAATTCCCCTCTCCTTGTTCTCGCTGTGTCTAATGGCGGATGTGATTTCTTTTCACACGGACGTCCACGAAAATGAAACTTTCATCAGCCGGCCTTTAGAATTGCCATGCGCCGGGTGTACAGGAGGCGTGTGCCGAGTGTGGTGCTCCCAGCGCGGGGCCACAGACGGACGAAATTGCACGATTCAAGATGACCTGTAGTCTGCTCTATGTTCTCCACGGGGGAAAATGTAATCTATATTCTATGAATTAGTTCCCGACCAGGTGAAGATATAATAGGCCGGATCCTGTACGTAATCATCACGACAAAAAGTCAAAGTGACATTCAACATTTCAAAATTTTATCACGACGTGCAACAATTTTAGTGGCTTTGTAGATAGACTCATGCATGGCGTTTGCACAGTGAGAAGGTCATATTTTGAGGAAAATGCAACAAAACAGCACTAATCACATAACGATAACAGTTTAAACTCAAGAAATAACTGTAACCGGTTTTTGTCCTGACGTACACCAGTGAGACTCGACAAACAAAACCCCAGTAGTGAACTCCTTGCCCCGTGCTGTTAGGCAGAGACAGATCGACCCGGTCCCCTGCTGGGTAATAATGAATATGATGGATGATGTGTGCCTGACCCCTGACCCGGTCTCTCCGATAGCGCCTGATTCTGTCCCCCATGACGCTATGAGACGTTTTTTGCTCCGGTGGGAGCGCCGCCCAAGACATGGCCCCAGCCGATCTTTGAATACCAAGAAAGCAGTGTATGTACTACGTACTAGTCTTGTGTTATATTCCAAAGATATAGCATAAGTTTCATTGAGTAGCAGGAGGCCTTATCCAGAAGTTTTATCAAAATAATCGCAGGAACATCTTTGAGCTTTGCTACTTATAGACAAAGATGTGGTTATTCGGATAATTAGACAAAGGGAAAGGAAATTGCACTGTATGTGTGTTTTTATTCCTTTACCCGACGCATTGTAATGTGATGAAATAAATATTTCGTCCTTGGCAACCACCAACGGTTCCAATGTAACTCGTGAATATTTCATGAATATTTGACTCTTCAGAGCTGGACTACCAAAATTGCAGTAAGACTGCCTTGCAAGAATCCTTCAACTCAAGATATCATTTAAGTGGCGTCGGCGCCACTAACGAGGAGGCTATACACCAGGGAAATGTTCCCAATATGCTGCGACCGCATCTTTGTTATTAGAGACAGGTACAGCGCTGATTGGTTGTGAATAATTCATTTCGAGCCGTCGATTATTCGTTATTGAGCGATAACAACGCAGCATTGTTCTTAAATCACCCGTGGTGGCATCAATATTATTTTATGACTTTCTTTCGTGCAGAGTTATAGCTATCATCAAAATGCCTCATTCATTTCAGTGAATAAAACCTTTATAGTGTATGTATTTTTAAGAGAAGCAGGCATGTAGTATATAAGAGTAGGCTCGTATATTCTCTTCTACAGACATTTAATTAAGTCTGTAAGAATGAGGCTTAGTACACTGGTTAACTATATTGATCAACCAACTTTGCCCATCGGCGGTCTTATTCTCAAAGGAAATTTCACACAAAGAAACACATCAAAATAACTATGGCGACGTGAACACAAGCGGAACGATTATGGATATATACGCGGTACATCATTTCTCTGTGGACGCCTTTATCTGAAATGTGCTCCAATGTATCCTTGAAACTACTCACGGGCTACCTGAACAGGCATCATTTTTGTTTGATGTTTCTGGATAGAGTTTGAACATAAGAAATGGCGACAAATTGTGATATTATAAAGCCGAGAGCTTTGCTGGAGAACTTCTAGACTGTCTCAAGCACAACATTATGCAGCTGAGTTGAAAGTCGTGCTTGCGTCAGCAACATCACGACTAGGAGGAATTTAACACTGGGAAGCTCCTAGGCAAGTACTGTGAGATAGATAAGGGAATTTACAGGGAGTTTATGTGATGGCGTGAGATATCTTTGCCTGGAGGTCTTTCTCAGAGTGAGTTATTTTTTTCGGTTTTGGTCACACGTACAGCTTGAGCAGTCTATAAAGTAACCAAACATTTATGGAAACAAATACTTGATACATTCGAATCCTCTGGGCTTGGGAAATGGGCGGAAGTCGCGTGGTCTTCGGATTAATTTTACAAAATAACCTAAGAATTTTGGGATATCTACTTTCTTGATGATATATTGATGGTCTCTAAGAATTTGCCATGTAGGCTCATTTCATGGACATATATTGGGCATTAACGATGGCATAACTTGTGTCGTGATGATGTCTGTAGCAACGAAAAGACACTGATTGATGGAAATTGACGTGGCGGGTTTCGTACTAATGGTCTGAATTGTTCTGAAGATCAATTCTAACCCGGTTATGTAGTGCTGATATACAACGGACGTAGATACAATTGTATTGTAGATTCAGAAGAGCACGGGGTCCCTGCTATTAACCTACTGCATGTTAGGGTAGCAATTGGACACCAAATTTGTATTAGTTATGGGGTTAGGAAGTACAGAGAAGGTTAAAAAAATACTAGGGCTAGGTTCAGTTTGTGAGATGACGCTATTGAAAAAGTAGCACACGTTTGTGCGGTATATTCCAGTCTTATTGCTTCTAGCCAGTCCACATTGTTATCCCGGCCGAGTTCCGGTGACAGGATATTTCATTACGTGTGCAGAGTCAAAAACGGATGTTGTTTGAAATCCTGCTCAGCTGCGTTACTGGTGAAATCTGATTATTCCACGTTAATTCTATCGGAGGCAGCTGCGAGTTTCAAGATGAAGCTATTATCAACCTTCCGTCTATACCAATGAGTGTGAAGTAGATGTTCACACAAAGCCGTAATGAGGAATATGGGTGTATGATGAGGATGTGGGAAACGAGGGTGGGGGGGGGAACGATGATTCTACTAGCTCAACACAGAAGACAAACCCTACAAGATACTCATTTGTCAATTACCAAAATTAATGTCAGTTCTAGTCTTACCGTCTTGGGACTTGTCCATGGTGCTGAATGTCCAGTAGCTGGCGTATCCTGATGTGTAGATGCCGGCGTTTGTTACAGACCGTCGTGTCAGTTGTCACTGAAGAACACCTGCAGAAATAAACGGTCGTCTTTCAGTTTCGCATTTATACCTGCAACATCCAGATAGCTGTATCTCTGCGTAATTGGGTCATGGATCTTTGTAATGGCATGTTTTTGATGGGTGTGATCTAATTTTCGCAGCGGAGACACGCACATAATGATATCAGTGCCTGGCTGCCGCTGTGCAACGAGTATGACCTGATATATGCCAACCCGTTCTGATGGAATTTCATCCTTCTTCAACACCTCAAGGCACCTCAGATGATCGAATCTTACAATGTAGACGAGTAGCTTTATGATCTTGTGGTTCACAAGAATTCTATGATTTTCTTCCAGGTGAAAGGCTGGTGTGTGAGTGAGAGGATAAGCTCACTCTGCCTCCCTTGCCGTCTGTACTCTTTTTAAAGCCTGCCCTTTCTATTTCTCTGTCTGTCTCTCTTCCTCCTGTTTAAAAACACTTAATTCTTAGTTCGGAACCACCTTTGTAATCCTTTTATGGAAAATTCGTCAATCAATGATTACTAGTATACAGCTTGATGGTGGAGCTTAGACTTAGTGGCCCCTGTGTCGCCCAACACATGAGACAGTCAGAGCGACTCCTCTTTGAACACGTTTGAACAGTTGGAGACATTATTTCTGACAGGAGACAGGGGAAACAGTGGATCTTTCTGACCACCGCCTGAAATCTTGAAGCAAATGAGCTCTATCTTTGTAACATGTACACTTGCCATTCTTTAATGGTCGAGCCGGCATCTATCTACGTGAACTGATTTAGTCCCACATGTACTCTTCGTTTACTAAGTGGACCATCTGTCAAACTGTTCGCTGACTGGGATCCTCAGTTGAACTGTCCCGTAACAAGTCTGTAGTGCTACAAAGGAAGCTTAAAATCTACGGCCCTCAACTGTGGAACAACCTGTCACTGAAGCAACGTAAGACTCTGGGACTGGTAAAATTTATTCAGGATTGGGGATTGTTAATGAGTGTTACTGCTGATGAGATGCCTAAACTGAAACAATCGACTCTACCCTACAAATCCTCTATCCTTCTTGTCCAGAAAAATCTGTCCCGTACATATACCAAAGCGTGAGGTTACTAGTGAATGAATCAGTGAAAAGCATAGCATGGTACAATGGTATATATATTCTGGATGTAATGAAATCGTGCGGTCACAAAAAGGTCACTATATGCTTACATCTGGTAATTTCATTAGGCTGGGACAAAATTGAATTTTGCGAGAATCCAGTCAAGTAATTCAAATAGAGGAAGTAGTTCTGTCACCGAATACGTACTGCTCTCTGATTTATTCTTCACATGGAAATAATTCAAAAGTCACTATGCCTGGTCAGTATTAACTTTAAGTCGTATTTACGAGTAAGATGGTAGTCGTAAGCTGGAAAGGTTCGTGTTACAAGAACGAATGTTTTTACTTCAGCTTACAGGTTTTTTTTTGGGGGGGGGGTCTTAGTAGAGGCGAGATGTACACTAGTACACTCTCTGCTGTCATTGACCAATGGCTAATAGTGACATGCCAATGATCAAGGGATTGAGCCTTTTGGTATGGGAAGAAATGACGTAACCTATGCATGATATAACATATCGTGTTACATCGTGAAACGGTCTTGTAGAACGTATATCATTCAAGAAAGAAAACAATGTACGTGTTCTCAAAATGGACGTAAATTGTGTTTTCCCTCCAACAAAATACATCACACAGACTCGCATCTCGGAGTTGAGATATCTAGCCAATTAGAACAGCCCTTCGGCGCTCGTTACGTTCCCATATCAATTCGGAACTTTTCATCGCCCACTTAATAAAACCACAGGAGACTGAGTCAGCCAGAGGAACTGATAGAAGCACCAGCGATGCAGATCATTACGTGAAGATGAAAGCTCTGTGGAAAATAGTCGCGGTGCCCACATTGGTTCCGTTCAAATTATCCGTGATTTCCTCGATTATGGCTGGGATAGTTGCCATAGAAACGAATTAGGTTTAAGATTAGGGCGCCACTTAATCATCCCCCGTGGTAAACGTAGAGCCAAATTTGCGTGGGGGTTGGATTGAGTATTTTGCATTCCTGCTGTTCAGTGCAACCGTTGTCAAACCCATCTGTCAATAAAACTTTAGATCATCATAGTCTTGACTTTCTAGCAGATGGAGTCAATACCGATTCCTTTTCAATATGAATAGAATTGTATTAACCCAAAAGGTCTTACCACGAACAATACCAAAAACACAGGCGGTTGTCAATTAATGTTCTTTTTGTTATAGCTGTCAGATACAGTGGTTAACTAAATCCCTAGGCAATAATAAAAGAATCATGAAACAAAGATATGTTCAAATATTTGCGTAGCACTGACCTTAATTATTGCCACAAAACAAGAGCGCAAAACCGGAGGGAATAGAATATACCAGGTTTTAAGACGTCTTTGACTACTACATCAGGTAAAATGCGTCACCCTAGGGGGTCTTGCTTACGTCATTGTCACAACATGGCGCCTGGAAAGGTCACCGAAGACGACTCCACACGGTCGGTGTTCGTTGATTGCCAATATCAAGATAACTTTGATTGTTCGCATGGGAACGGTTAGAGTGATCTGTATGCTGATAATGCTCCGTTGCTTTGAAGATATAAGCAAGTACAACGTCAAAGCTGACACGTTCACTGTAGCAGAGACAACTTTTACTGTTGCGGAATGAACCTTAACGAACCAATTACTGGCAACCCTCGTTTGAAAAATGAGGTCAAATAAGACTTGCCCCAGTTTCCACCCTGGTTGTATTTAATCCCGTGAGATGTGAGCACACGAAGGTGAAGTTCTGAAACTCTCAGTCGACAGAGAGAACTGGTAAAGATTTTGCTCGATGCTTTCTACTTCAGCCGTCGTGTAGGTTCTTTTGATCTGTAATATCTCCAGACGCGTTCATCCATCAAACGATGTATTACTGGCAACGCTGTTATAGCTAAGCTCCGCACCGTGTATGTTAAATTGAAAGGTTTTGATACAGTCGTCATCATCTGTCTGAGGCAGAAAGATAACACTTGCTGGCACCAAAAACTGACACATTCTGTGTATATCATCAGCTTTCCAGTGATATGTTCATGGACTGAATCTTAGACGCCAGACGCCTTTGTGTAGCACAGTTGCCCGCATGATTAAGGAAAATACAGCACAATTCAAACACACGTGACGTCTGAGCTGCATATTACGCCCTGAATACAGCCGAATCGCGAGAATTGACTGCCTTCTGTGGAAGGTGTTCGATCTGGTAGAGGCGTTGGACACTGCAATTGGACGGCAACATGTGAAGTAAATAACAGTCTATCGACGCACGCACGCCCGCGACTCTCCTATTCTTCACAGTTGGGAAAGTTTCCAAGTATCCTGCAATCTCATTACAAAGTTCATGGTGACTTTTCAAACTTTAGCTTCATATGAGCCTATGATCTCGGAGCCAATTTTTCCAGACTACGGTTAAGTCATCCAGTTATACAATTGGCCATTTGACTACCTTGCTCCATTCAAATGTAATACTTTTGTATCAAACGTCGCTTACGGTAAGGGTACGGGTTATTTATGAGTAGTCAAATGCACTTTGTATCTTTCCCACTCCATCCCCTTTGCTTATCTCTGTTGGTCAGTCTCTGTGAATGAGACTCCTGATAATGCCTACTGCTACGCGCTGACAGCTCATCTGGGTGCCCCAGTGGGGTTACGCTGTGAACAGATTTCTCTGCTACTCTCTGATGTTGAGTATAACTGTAGCTGACGGGTCTTGAGACCTAAATACGTCACTGTAAGACCGTATTACTGTCTGTGTTGATGGAAATCTGTTAACAAGTATTTGACATGGCATGAGAGAATCTCAGACATCCATTTTGGATACTAATGGGTGGTGAGGATGTTTGGTGTATTTTTCAGTTTTCCCTTCTTTGAATAATATTAAGTCTAAACGCTTAGTGTCCTCCTACTCTCACATACTTTCTAGTAGTTTCTACAATCCTTCCTGGGACGCATTTTTAAAGATCAGCACGCAAAACCATAACTAGTGTGAATTGAAAGACATTTTGATCATGAGCAAAATACCGTTTCAGACATGGTTCTTCTGAAATCACAACGAATCAGCGTAAGCGTTGGCATCATAGAAGTGCTAGAAATAATTGGTGTCATCTTTCTAGCCTTTAGCTAGCTTCTCTCGTCAGCTTTACGACCTGCACATCGATGGTATGGGGCTTTAAAACTCCCCAGATGACAGATGTAATGGTCCCCAAACAGATGTGACATGACACTTTGAAGGGTAACGACGTCTCCTCTAGCTCTTTGAGAGTCAGAGAGACGGATACATGCCCGCTATCTATGGCTTCATGCGGAGTGCTTACACGTATTACTATCGCACCGTGGAAACAAGAATGGCGGCAAAATTGCAACTTTAAAGGTGCGGTGGAGTAGATTAAAGCGGAAGAGCAGCGAGTCCGTCTTTGCCACGTCAATTATCGAGTCAAGTGCACTATGTTTGACGGTGTTGGCGGGAAGTGGTGAGATTGCGAAAGTTTTAAGCCGTCAGTTTGTTAGAGATTCAGAGGGAAAGTGGGCAGAGAAACACGTACGTGAACTGCTTTCCGAAAATGGCGGTATGTTCTCCCTACAAACTCTACGTAAGTGGATACAAGCAAAACGTCTGTTTGGATGTGCAAATATAGCAGCTGCTTTCATTTCATCCGATATCAAAGCAAGATTTCTGCATAGTCACTTTGATACTAAAATTTCTCAGTGTTGTGACAATTGTGATATCCGGATGCATATGCTCGTTTCAAAGGCCATTCTTCCCAACGTCCATATGTTATATAAAGTGATCTCAAAGGAATAACTTTTTTGAGATGTAGGGCAGGGGTTGTGGGAGTTACGGTGACAATCACGCCGATTGCTCTTGAGGGCATTCGTTGATTCCATCCCGTACGTGATGAACGTCAGGAAACCTGAGCCTCAATGATTTCATCTCTACAGAC